TTTTACGGATATATTTATGTAAAAAACTTTTGTGGTAGTGCTTTTAGACAGCTATAAATTTAAATAGTACTTACATGTGAAATGTACAATACTGCGAGTTTTCCTTTTTAGATGACTTATATCCGGGCACTGAACACGTTACCATAACTAATAAACGTCCGTTTAACACTATTTCACATTTTAAAACCAATTATTTTTCAAAAATAAACGAAATTTGTTTCGTTGTCAGCTGACCCTAAGTTCATACAGGCTCATAGCGTATAATGAAGTGGTCTCGTCTACGCATCTCGCTCTAACATACGTGTCTACTAACGCTCTTTCACTTGCATTGCCAATCTATGGGTACCTATATACTAAATCTATGAAAGCAACAGTAGCCACGTGTCCAGTTTTATTAAAAAAGAAGCAATCATCCGCTCAGAGGCTTTTTAGGCTTTTGCACGCGCGCCACTTTGGTTGGTTTCGGCTTATCTCGATAGACCCATACCCTCGATTGCTGCTTTGTTTTGGGATCGTAACTATAAATCCATGTTTCGTCACCTGTTACTATGTCCCACACCAAATTTGACGCCCCTTCGTTGAATCTGGTAAGCATGGCATTGCACCAAGTGACGCGATCCGTTTTTTGAGCCTCAGTCAAATTGTGTGGGATCCACCTAGACCACAGCTTTTTCACACCCAAATATTTGTATAGTATTGATTGTATTTGACTCATTCCTATGCCCAAAGATGCTCGAATCTCAGGGTACGTCACATGCCCGTCTGTTTTGATGATACAGCGCACAACATCGATGTTTTTGTTGTACACAGCAGTGGACGGGTGACCATCACGAAATTCGTCACTGAGATTCACACGACCGCGTTTGAATTCTGCAAACTAGCTATAAATAGTCGTTTTGCATGGTGCTTCATTGCCAAAAACAGTTTCAAGCCGAGCGAAGCTCCGCTGAGCTGTTAAATTATACTTGAAAGTCGTAGAAAATCATACTACGAAAATTTTCACGAGTTAAATCCATGGTGATGTAGACAACCAATTTTCAAAATGACACCACAATGTAAAAACAAGTGACAGTCAGATAAAACCATCGAGTAAATGAAACAAACTGTACAGCCAAAGAGTTACATTTTCAAATGTTCTAATTACTTTTTAAATATTGTTTATGTAAGTAGCCAGTTCCGGAAACTTATAGTGCGCCCTATGTATTGCAAGTATATTTTCAAAATATTTTTTTATTTTACAATTTTGATGATGTTAGTACAATGTTATTAAACTTTATTTTCCAAAGTATAAGACTAGTTAATTTGCCAAAAAAGACGCCGCTTTTTTATAAGATGTTACGGCAAGTGTCGCGGCATCTTTAACATCGATCTTTAAGCGATCGAGCTCTTGTAAAAAGCTACAGGTGTTCCAAACGATAAAATTAATTCAGAGGCGCTCGTAGCACCAACATCGTAGTTAGTCCTCGCAAGGATTTGCTGTCGTGAGGTTAGGTATATTGTTATTATTCATTGTATTTGTAATAATAATAAGTATATTATAATAGGTACTCTTATATTGGACTGTACAAACATTAACTATACAGGAAGCAGCAAATAGACAAAATAATACTTCACCCAGTGATAGTGCCCATAAAATTAGACAAAACTAAGTAACATCATCAAATTACCTTATTTTGTAAAATATGACATATTTTTACACGTGCTCTTCTTCAGACAACAGCTTATTCCAAAATATAAAATTTCCTCAACGGATATTCAACTTAAAGCCAAATGCATAGAGTTTAATGTCAATTGAATAAATTTATCAATAATATAAATTAAACTTCATTCTGTCGAAACACGTAAAATTTTTTAAGCCCTATTTATTCATCTTTTTAATTGATTAAAGTTTGTTTGTTGTTATTAGTTAAGAATAGTTGTTAATGACTTTTTACGATACCGGTCATCGTCAAACATTATGATATCCTGCGGTTTACGATAATCGGCGTCGTATATTTGCATATCTAATAAGTAGCAATAGGTAATTGCAAGCCTTGCGAGACTCTTGCAGCAAGACCGAGACCAAGATCAAGACCGGGGTTAGTTTCGTCTTGGTCTTGCGTTGGGCAATACTAGTGCAGACTGTTTACAGTTGCGATGCAATCGGCGGCATTGCATGGTGCTTGGCGTGCAGAAGTAGCAGTAGTGCTCCTTGTGAAAGAGTACTCCAGGGTTCGTGAGGCAATTGCACTTTATTTTTTATTTTTTATTTATATATATAATAGACACACGCTTGGCCACAATCTCACCTGATGTTAAGCGACGATGTGACCGACGATGGGACGCGTTTGCCTAAAAAATGCCTATTCACTCTAGCCTTGAATAGCCCCAAATTGTACTTTTCGGGAAATACAGATGCCGGTAGAGCATTCCATTCCTTTGCCGTACGCATCAGAAAGGAGGAAGCAAAGCGCTTAGTGCGAATAGGTGGAATATCAACGACATAAGAATGGAGTGCTCCGGACCTTCTAGTCGACCGAAGGAGGAACGGTGAGGGCGGAACCAAATTGAAAAGTTCCTGCGCACACTCCCCGAAATGTATCCGATAGAAAACCGACAAGCAGGCTACTTTTCTGCGATGATCGAGATTTTGGAGCTTCGACTCCACAAGAGGATTATTGTTATATTGTAAGAATTGATATATTTGAGAAATAAATAAATATGAGTCTGAATCTGAAGTACTGCCACCTTACCTATTTCTACCGTCAAGCAGTAATGTGAGCATTACTGCGTTTTGGTTTTTTAAAGGGTAAGAAGGGTGCTGGTGAAATTAAAGGCACATGGTACTTGTCAACGTACAGTCAGCATATAGTTAGTGTAACTACAAATTTAAAGATATAGACAATAGAATTTTGGTTCATAATTATAAAGAGCGCCTTTGTAATGTGGTTTATGAAATAATCTCATTACAGAGTACTAAAAAAACCACAGACCAAAAAACCGCCCTCAAAAGTCATTCATCCCCTAGATTGCCGCCCTTAGAGGTGGGATATTTTCTTCAAATTTAAATGGGACCACTACTGAGGTACCCTCTTTCCTACAAAATAAAAGAATCATCAAAATCGGTTCATAAATTAATTATCGCGTAAAAAAAAACTTACAGCCAAATTGAGACCCTCATCCTTTTTTGAAGTCGGCTATTTATAATTGACCGACTAAAGAACATGAGAAGTTCATTATGCTATGGTAACAAAAATTAGCTTCCATTCCGTTCCGCGACAATGTAAACTGCCCAAGAATTTGGATATCTAAGACTTTTGAATGATGTTTGTGAAGAAGTGTGATTCTGAAACAATCTTCATTATTATGATTTTGCTTATCTTACCTTGCCTCCTAGTAATTAACATTTAATATCAAATATTACCGAGCCTTATATTTGTTTACAACTGTACTTTACGTCGCTAACCATCTGGAATTTACAAATAGGTACCAACTAGTTTTCATGAAAAATCTCGTAGGATATCCAAACATTATAAATACATGCGATTTTGCAAGCCGCTCATTTCTTCAACACACCTACAACCTTTTAGGCTTATTTAATTATATTTTCAAGTACATACAAAAGTTTCAAGTCAATATGACTGGCTGTATTTCCCCTCTTGGCGCCCCCCGGTGTTCACCCACACAGCCTTTGTCGTGTAACACGAACACGCCAATGCCACATACCTACGCGGTGGACCCGTGCTTTAACATCTACAGTTGTTTAACGCAGATCATGTAAAAGCTAAGGGAGAAATGATTCAGTGAAAACTAAAAATAGTGAAAGCTAAAAACAGTGGAACCTAAAAACAGTACATTCATTTCTGTACTCTAACTACCAGCGATTCAGAGTGCAACTAAAACAACGTAAAATACTTTTGTTTTGAAGTGCTTAACAATTAAGTGAAGTGGTAACAGAGTGCAATTTAATATACTTAGTAATTACTTGAACACCAATATGTCTTTTAATGTGTTACAATAACAGTCAATCCCTATCAATCCAATGCTAAAACGCATGTGGTTATATATTAGAGATAAGTATGTTGTTTATGTATTTTAAATAAATGCCCAAAGCCTTCCGATCTTATCTATCGTTGTAAATATCATACTTTTCTACAAGCAATTTAAATTTTCTTGGTGTTTGGGCCACACGTTATACGTTCCAGCAGCCTGTCGACGCTATGATCGCTTCTTGGCCCTGGACTACAATACAACTGGTGCACCTCAGTGGACCACGGGCAATTATTTTATTCCGTAGTCTCTTGGATTTTTTTTATTTTTAAAAGTCGTGTGTCTGGTAGTAAGCGAAACGCATTTGCATAACAGTTGCAGTGCCACTCAGAGGTTTAAATGGCTTAGAACTGAGGATCACTGCCACTGCGCCCGTCACCCTGAGACATAAGTTGACAAGTCCCATGTGCCTGTAATTTCACCAGTACTTTACCCTTTCCAACCGATACGCAGTTATGCTCGCATTTATTTATTAGAAGACAGCTTGGCGGCAGAAATAAGTAAGGTGGTAGTACTTCACTGGGCGAACTCTTTGACATGGAGCTCTACTGCTACTAAATATTACTTACTTAAAAAAGTGATATTTTTTGAAAATATTTCTTTGTATAAATACTAACTAAAATACTAAATAAAATTATTGAGGTGTAAGTTATCCATACGGGCCCAGCGGCCACGTGACGTTCGAACGGCTGGTGACCTTATAAAAATATAATAAGTAGCTTGCAAGTCCTTAAATGATACTCAAATACACTTTACCGCTCATTATTAAACAAGGCACCTCTACGGAAATCGTTCCTCTACGGGAATCGGACTTCGTAATATCCACTACACAACCAGTAGTGCCATGCCTTTTGGTTCTAAAAATACTCGTATAGGTAAATTGTCTTCAGAAACGATTAAGGCATCATGGCTTTAAACAAAGGTGCATAGTTTATCTACCTATTCAAAAGCAATCAAAGGCAACGTCATAGTAGTTAAAATTATCAATAATATTTATAAAAAATAATAAAGTATGTCACGGAACAAACAACACAACACACAAACGATCACTTGCAAAGAGTAGAGTATCCTCCTTATCGCTACCGCAGGTTGGGAACGCAGACGTGTCTACAAGCATAACCCTGAAAAAAATGTAATTTTAGTACGAGCTCGATCTAAGTACCTACATTTAATGTTGTATAAAAATGATACTAACAAAGCGGTTGCTAGTATATCGCACGTTCGGGTTTCCGCGGTTGTAGCAGTCCGCTGGGAATCCTGATGGTCTCTTTGCATAGATGCTGTCGTGTACAATGAGGGGCCTGCGCAGGTTTACGGGGTCCATCTCGCAACAGGGACAACATCGGCGAACGAGGGGTAAGCAAGGTGGAGGACAGGGCGGCGCACGCGGGCAGATTGGTCGCTGCTTAGGAATTATTGGCGGCGGACACTGCGGGTTGCAGCACGGCAGTACCGGCTGGTGGCACGGTATCGGTTCTGGACAAGGAAGGGGCTGCAAAAAAGTTTTCGTTTTGCAATTCATATCACATGAACAAAGAAAATTAAAGTTATGATGGAGTTCTACTTACGGGAGGCATTTCACAAGGTTCTGGTGGTGGACAGCAGGGTAATACCGGCGGACAATATACAGGTTTTGGCGGCGGTGGGATAGGCTCACAAGGCGGTATTCGGCGGGGCTTGCAGCACGGCAGCTGGGGCACTATCGGTGGCACGTAGTCTGGTGGGTTCGGCGCCGGACACGGTCTATACACCGGTCTACACCTGCATGGCAGGCATGGCGTACAAGGACATGGTGGAGGACAGCACGCTTGGCAGCATGGCGGCGGTGGACAGCAGTTGAAACGACACGGTCCCGTGCCGCACGGTACAATTGGTGGACACGTCGGGCAAAAAGTACAAGCACACATCTCAACTTAGCACTTATTACTTTTCAAGCTTTTCAAGTTTACAATAATAAATTTATTTTAATATAATGGAATAATCAAGAATTTATTTAAGTATTTGATAAATTTTATAATTTTTGTAAAATATTTTTACATAAATTTTACATTCTTTGATGTTGCTTTGTCGTTGTGTAATTTAACAGTGTCGTAGCTAGTGAAGAATAAAATAATTATTGCATTCATAGTTATTTGGTTATATTGTAGACGTTATCAAAATCAATTAAAAATTTGTACTTTGAGAATTCGTTAAAAGCGATGTCGAGCGTTTTTAGTCCTCAGAGATTTTTGTCCTATTGAACCGAGTTATGAACATTGGGAACGCAGCTCCCATTGAAATTCGTGACTTATAATGTGGGTTTATAAGTCACGTATTTCACTGGGAGCTGTGAGTAATTTTATTAGGTTTGCGGACTGTCTAAATCCTTTTGTTTAAATTTTCCTGCTTACAGAATTTGTTTGCACTTTGTGCTAAACAAAAATTGTCTTGCCTTATGTCCAACACAACGCTACCAAATGTGTAATAGACCTTCAAGTCGGTTTGCTCTTATGATCTCATTGCGCCCCTGTTAGAAATAACTTCACACCCCTTTTTTTTTTTTTTTAGGATTACTAAAATGTCACGTGTTAGTAGCCATACCGGCCAGCAATATTTCTTACATGCCAGGCACAATATAATCTACGTCAAGCTAAGATTCAGAGAGGACAAAACCAAAGACTAAAAAGAATTAATGACACAACTGTGATTGGCAAAAAAATTAGGAAAAATTTTCAGTTTTGTAAAATTTCTAGAAATAAAATATACATATCTAATCAAAATGAGTGCCCCATTTTACAGTTTTGACCCATGCGTATGCTCAGGTCGGCCGTGTGGGGCTTGTTACCCGTATTCAACGAAACCCTGTGTGGCGTCGTGCAACGATTTGTCTCCTTGCTCCACGTGTCCTGGTGGCGGTTGTTCGCCTTGCCCCGCACCCGTACGCCCCTGCCCAACACCCTGCCCGCCACCTCCAGTTCTTCCCTGCATACAGCCTTGCCCTCCTTGCGACAAGGTATGTAGAAGCCTAAACAAGTCTAATACTTCATAAAAAAAACACAGGTTTTTATATAGTATAGGCGTTAGATTACTGGTGTTAGCGACTGTCGCAGCATGAATTAATTCAAATAAGAATTAATTAAAACTAAGACTTGTTAGTATTATTTCAATGTGCAGTATGTGCGTGTCGAATTTTTCACGTAATTTACAATAGCTAATAAAAGTATTTTCTAATGTTTCAGGGTCGAATTCCTACGGGATGTGATTTCTACCGAGAATCTATAGCAATTCCGTGCTGTCGCCCGAACCGATGCAAACCTTGTCCTTGCTACTGTTGCACAGAACCGGCAGTGTGCACGCCTAAGCGATGCAGCTTTCCGGGAACGCCTGTCTGCACGAACTGCTGCGGCCCATGCATGCCCTTGTGGTAGCATTGTGGAGTCTACAAACATTTTAAATCATAAATTAATGAACTTAAGTGCAATTCTGTCCTAAATAAGAGCGGAGTCACTCATAAAAAATAAGTGAAATCTATAATTGTACTTCGCGTGTTGTCCGTCGGCGTCTTTAAGATAGGCTGTTATAAGTTGAGAAAACGTCTTTGTACTGAATTAAAAAAGATTGTTAATAAAATGTATGTCATTTTTGTACGCGTGCGTGTGCATATGTGTGTTCGTGCGCGTGAATATCTGCGTGTGTGTTTAGTTACAGAAATGTCACTATTTACCTAATTCACTACTCACGTAGCACGAATGCTAGTTGTGATTAAAAAAAAGTGCGCACCTGGAACCTGCTTGTATTTAAATAGTGGCTCTTAATTATTAATACAAAAATCGAACACTCAGAAAAAACACTCAGAAAAAATTCCTTCGATCCGGTCGGATTCGAACCGACGTCTTCTTGCATACCGTGCCAGACGCTATACCAATTAAGCCACGGAACGAACCAACGGACATCACGAATTTTTCTAGTTGCTTGCGTCGTGTCTTTGTACTTGGTCTTTCAACGACTTTTTAGTCGTAGCGCCAGCTATGAGAAATCTATGACAGATTTATCACCCAGTTAGTACCTTTACAGCTACCAGTCCTGGCGAGAGATGTCGCTATTCACTGTATTAATTAAATTTTTATTGAATTGATATTCAATCATTTTTTGTGAAATTACTCCACTAGTTTGTCTTAATTATTAATACAAAGATCGAACACTCAGAAAAAATTGCTTCGATCCGGTCGGATTCGAACCGACGTCTTCTTGTATACCGTGCCAGACGTGGCTCTTACTTTATCAGGCTTTAGTTTCACAATGATAAAATTGTATACAACAAGGACTTTGTGGCTAGCATGCCTGCTGTGGTCTCGTGTCGAATTATAGGAGGCATTCATTAGGCATTTCATTTTTACTTACAAGGTGTTAAAAATTTATATATTAGATATATAGGATCGAATAAGAGGTAATAGAATAAACTCAGCACAGTTAAAGCAATGTATGTTTTATATTCAGTGACAACAGAAGTTACAAGGATACTATGGAAACGATCTTTATAGTAGGCATAAAACACATTAAAGGCTTCATGCCATAACATCCAACCCTGTTTTTGATGCCTGCAAGGTAAGAAAGCTCTAGGATCCTAGGTCCATATAAGGGCTTCGTCAACATATCAGCTAGTTGCCGAGCTGCCGGTACTTTGTACACTTCGATTATGCCATCTGTTACACATTCTCGTATATTCTTGTGCTTCGTTCTTTGATGAAATTCATATGGCGGATTTTTAGCTAGCCTAATTGCAGACTCATTGTCAATTCATAGGCTCGTGGGACAATCCTCATCTGTGATATCTTTTATAATCCTCTTTAGCCAGATTATTTCACGAGCTGTTTCACTAGCAGCTACAATTTCTACTGCTCTGGAGGAAATAGTCACGGTAGATTGCCGCTTACTCTGCCAAGATATTGGTCCTCCAGCAAAAAAACATAACATGCCAGTAGTGGCCTGTATCATGAGCACCTCCGTGATCAGCGTCGCTATAACAAAGCCAAGGGCTTTATCATTGCTATAAATAATTCCTTTCTCTAAGGTGCCTTTCAAGTAGCGTAATATTCGCTTTACATTTAGAACATTCTCTTTTGAGGGATTATCAAGATTTCGTGATACAATACTTACAGCATACGCAATATCTGGTATTGTACCTGTCATGAGGTTAGCCAATGCTCCCACTACTTGACGATAAGGGAAAAAAATTATCTTGATCTTTACAGGCTTCTTCTTTGTTCGACTTTACGATCGGTGTAGCAACAGTTTTACAACTCTCCATGCCGAATCTTTCTAGAACGCTTGAGTGTACGCTTTTTGATGAAGCCAAATAGAACCATTTGATTTCTATTTCCATTCCCAGAAAATAGTTTGCCGGTTTGCTTGAAATTTTAAAACGTTTTTCCAGCTCTTCTAGAAACGTTTTCGCTTCTTTTTCACTTGTTGAAGCGAAGAGACTGTCGTCGACATATAGGGCTCAAACGATTTTAATTATATCTCTCTTTCTAATAAACAGGCAATGATCCGCTGTACGGTTTAAATCCAATTTCTATAATGTAGTCGGTAATACATCGATTCCAACAGCGGGGTGCTTCAGTCCATATAGGCTCTTTTTCAACTTGAACACAAGCTTACTATCAGTAGTGTACCCTTCTGGAGTTTTCTTTCTTAAAACTTCATGACATGACATGACATGCTTGACGAATGCTGAAACTGTTATTTTTTTGTTTCTTTACTTTACTGTAACCAAAGTATGCCTAAACAAACACAAGTCTAATAATTTAATCTCGAGTGGTCTAGTCTATTCATAGATTTAGTATCTATGGGTCTATTATTATAAATGTCAACACACATTTTTAAACTTTTTTTAAAATTTATTTTCGAGATTACAACTGGTAACTTATTTAGTAAAAGTCACCAAACTGCTGTGCAGTTTGTTGGCGACATGCGCATTCTTACTTAATTATACCTACTTTACTGGTATGTAACATTACATAGTATTAATTGTACTTACTAAATAAAATATAAAATTTACTTTAATTACTTTAACGATGGCAAGGGAAGGCAAATAGGCTGTCTATGCGTAGGTATTGGCCTTTACCTGGGAACGTTGGACTAACATGTCATTGTATTGCAGGCTTTAAAAAAATAGTAATTTTTAACAGTTAGAGTTGTCATTGGGAAAAATCAGAAACGAGTGGATAATTTTGTTTTCAGGAACTGAGAATAACTAGTAAATGAGTCTTGTTTAATCTAAATTAAACATAAAATTATTTACCAATAAACCTAATGATGGAATAGCATTGTCATGTAATCTAGTTACATTCAAAGGTCTGTTAAAACGTGACTCTTCAAAATGAAGCGAACAAATGAAGATGGTCTTATGATCCAACGTTTATATTCGGCAGTCCTATGATTTCCAACCATTATTTCTTCCTTTTTTCATTTGTAGGAAAACTTGAAATAATAAAAAGAATAATAATAAAACAATAAAAACCTCGTAGTGAATTGTTTTAATAACAGAATATCGATAATATGTATGCTTACAAGATCAACACTATCTCAAAATAATCGTTAACAACAATCATTAAAATATACAAAATCTAAATTTGGCAAGATTTATAAATAAACTACTTAAATAAGTCTAATTACATGAAATATTTGGGCTATTGTGTGATTTATAGTCAAAAAAATATGATTTGCACTTTTTCTAAAGCCACATCCCTTAATGCTGTAGCGCCGCATTTTTATTAATACCTAATTATTCTCACTGTCAATATTTTTATTCAATTTAATTATAATACATGCGAATAATTCAATAGTACATTTGGAAAAACATTTGTTTTGACATTTGATGTACTTCCCTTTGATAACGGGTATCATGTACCCATGACTTAGACTATTCTTTTATTTTTTTCCATCCTCTAAGACCCATGAGGTTACTGCGAAATGGCCACGGTTGGCATTTAAGATGACGTTACGTATTTTCGATTCCCGTGTTTCACACAGATCAATGTAATGCTATCTCTTTTGGCTTAAGACGGCACGTAATAGTTAAACAAAGACAGTAACATGTTTATGTTTTCGACGTCGAAATGCATCATATACATATAACGTCTGATTTATTCTATGTCAACGTAAAAAACACCAAAGACTTCATGCCTTAACACAAGGTTTTCCATCTCGTTCACATTATATCTTCTTCTTCGTGTATGCAGCATCTTCGTATGTGGTATCTACATACATACAGGCCGATATACCAGTTGTCTTCTGTTTTGTAAAAAAAATTCATTGTCATTCACGTCATTACTTTACTTTTACTTTTTAGGGAAAGATAGAAATTTTCTAAAAAATATTAAAAACTTTAAAATACATAAAAAGTGGAAAAGAAATAGCTTCAAAAGCAAAAAACAATCAATGTAAGCAAAAATGTATTACGATTGACTGTACAAGTTAATAAGAAAAAAATATTTTAAAACATATTTACGTTAACAGAAGCACCAGGAGACCATAATCTTGTACGGGTGACGGTTCAGAAGGATGTCTGTGTTGCCACGTGGCTACGAATGCAACCGCCCATGTCCCAGATACGGGTGCGTTACAGGAGAATGGAGCGTATACTACAAGCGACCTCGGTGTGGCCAGCCGCGACCTCAGCCCTTCCAGAGAGAATGTACGCCGTGCTGCTTCGGACCCTCTAATGCACCGTGTGAAAGGTACCTCTACAATTTTTACAGGACTTATCCGTGTAGTCTTGACATCAAACTGTGTTGTAAGTAATCCTTGGGTTATGAAAATTCTCTATATACCTACATACGGCAAATCTCACACTGCGTGCGTTACGCGGTTGACAAAAAAATCTTGTATGAACGCGCGGGTATAGTTTGTGCCATTTAGCATCGCCATAGCGGTCATTGAATTTCATCCACAATTCGAACCGACCGATCGCCGATTCCCTATAAATCTTTCGCAAGTTTGGCATCACGTGATTAACATTATGAAAGTAAATGACTTAACTTAAAAAAATAAATGAAATTGAAGCATCACACTCTGTGAATTTGAATGTTGTAAACATTACATTTTTATTTAAATCTAGATTTATTATATTTGACTTACTATTGTACGTGTGTGTATTGTTGTGAATCTGCCTCTGTGGCCGAATGGTTACCATGCAGAGGTCACAGGTTCGATTCCCGGGCCGGAAGAAATATTTGTATGGCCTACATTTATTTGTCTCGTGAGTTTGGGTGTAATTTGTAATTGTCTATTTGTGTGTCCATGGCACCCGCGAGTCAGGGTTTCCCTAGTGCGGGGCAATGTGGAGTGTGTGCGTTATTATTATTATTGTTATTATTATTATTATTATAATGATTTATATGTGCATATGCACATATATATGTAATAAAAAATAAATATTAGCATAATATACTAGGTTTATATAAAACTGATAGTTAAAACGCAGTTCAGTTCAGTTATAATTTTACATATATTAAATACATAATTTTCTTTTATTGACATTTATAAACAATACCAAGGGTTTAAAAAAAACCAAATTCAACTATATTCTTATTTATTTTTACCCGCTTTTCACGACAGCTGCGTGTCTACCAAACTGCATTTCGTGTCGGATTGCGTTTGCATTCGGTCGAGTTTCAGAAACATTCTATTATAGTTTTGGTAGTTTGTTTTATTACTTTTGGAATTGATTTGGTTTATTAACTTGCTTTGTTATTTTTGTTTTGTTTCGTTGATTTTTATTTACTGGATACTTATTTGTTGTTAAATGAAGTACAAACTTGGAACTAGTGGCAGAACCATCTACCGGTGGCAGGGCCGTCGTCGCATTAATGCATAGGGCGCACAGTAAGTTTCCGGAACTGGCCACTTACATCAACAATATTTAAAAAGTAATTACAACATTTGAAAATGGAACTCTTTGGCTGTAGAGTACAGTTTGTTTCATCTAACTGTCACTTGTTTTTACACTGTGTGTGGCGTCATTTTAGAAATTGGTTGTCTACATCACCATGGATTTAACTCGTGAAAATTTTCGTAGTATGATTTTCTGAGACTTTAAGTGTAACTTAATAGCTCAGCGGAGCTTTGCTCGGTTTCAAATTGCTTTTGGCATTTGGTTTGCAGAATTCAAACGCGGTCGTGTGAATCTCAGTGACGAATTTCGTGATGGTCACCCATCCACTGCTGTGTACAACAAAAACATCGATGTTGTGCGCCGTATCATCAAAACAGACGGGCATGTGACGTACCCTGAGATTCGAGCATCTTTGGGCATAGGAATGAGTCAAATACAATCAATACTATACAAATATTTGGGTGTGAAAAAGCTGTGGTCTAGGTGGATCCCACACAATTTGACTGAGGCTCAAAAACGGATCGCGTCACTTGGTGCAATGCCATGCTTACCAGATTCAACGAAGGGGCGTCAAATTTGGTGTGGGACATAGTAACAGGTGACGAAACATGAATTTATAGTTACGATCCCAAAACAAAGCAGCAATCGAGCGTATGGGTCTTTCGAGATGAGCCAAAACCAACCAAAGTGGCGCGCGTGCAAAGTGAGAGGCGGATGATTGCTTCTTTTTTTAATAAAACTTTAACCGTGGCTACTGTTGCTTTGGAGAATCGTTGTACCGTGAATAGTGATTGGTACACGACTTTTTTTTTGCCGGAAGTTATTGACAAACTCCGTAAAAATAACCGTAAACGCCGCATCATCTTGCACCACAATAATGCCAGTTCTCACACGACCAGACAGACAAATGAATTTTTGAAGGTGAACAACGTTGACCTTATGAGCCATCTCGGGTACAGTCCCAACCTGGCATCTTGTGACTTTTATTTATTTCCAAAAATTAAGAACCAGTTACGCGGTCAACGATTTTCATCACCTGAAAAGGCTGTTGAAGAGTTTGAAAAATATGTTTCAGAGATTGTCACGGAGGAGGGGCATAAGTATTTTCAAAATCGGTTCATTCGTATGAAAAAGTGCATTAACGCTAACGGAGACTATTTTAAGAAACAATAAATTTATCGCTGATCATTTATAGTACTTTTTTCTTATTCATTCCGGACAACTTATAGTACACCTCACGTATATTATATAGATACATTATATAATTTTTTTTTTTATTATATAAAATGAAAGCAAAATATTTAATCAATATGATTCCTTACTATTGAAATGTTTATAACGCCTGATGTCAAAGGTACGTCAAAGTGACCTCTACCACGATACGCCAACGATAATCCTTTCGCACGCTACTAGGAATATTGGAGAGTATCGTTCGTTAGTAGGAATGACTGATTGATCGCTATTGCCATGCTAAAAGGCATAATAATATGGCACATAAATAGTTTCAAACACGATTACAGCTCTCGGCAAGTCGCTGCGCGTATTCTGTTATCTACGGTTTTACCACAGATTACTTAATAGTTGCTAAGTAACAGATACTTCACTCTCGTACAGAATCAAAAGTACCTACGTTATAATAGCCTACTAGATCTGACTCCATGACACCAGGCGCTCATTACAAGGAAAAATTAACCTAAGCACGCGCTCAAAGAGTTGAAAATAACGTTACCCGCCGTGTGCAGCCGCGAGGAGCCGAATGCTCATAAATGGAAAACTTGTATGAGCGCTACGTCGCCACACTCAGCGGTAGGCACTTATCGTGTAATCTTGAGGGAGTAACGGAGCCCTGGTTATACTACTGCGTCACTTCAGCGGCACCTAGGGCCTATTGCAGGATCCCAGTTTTCGTTAGCGGCTACACTTCACTCTGTCTGTCACTTTACCGCTATTGCCTTACGACATAACACTCGCGAATGGCTAAGTCCAATAATAAGTTCTCCATTTGCTTTATAATTCTTTGCTCTTTACATTAGTGTTGGTACTTTATAAGCAAAATAATGTCGTGAATCGATGACGGTATATTTTTTCTGACGATACTGATCAAAATTCCATGTTCAATATAGTGAATAACTATAGAAGTATCTAATAACAAATTTCAGGCCGTGTTGCTACGACTATCCGTGCAAAGCGCATTGCTTTAACCACGGCGCGTGTACAAGACCTAGTGGTAGATACGCTCGCACTGTGTGGTACCCAGGCGAGTGCTGCCCCAGGGTGCCTCCATGCCAGGCGTTTACATGTCCCAACCCGCCTTACCACCCGTGCTGCTACCACACGTGCAACAAGCATTTCTAAAGTATTGTGTTCACGTGTAAGTGTTGTTGAAAAATATATCTGCGCGATTACATAAGAAAATTTTTGAAAGTTTTTGACGTATTTGTATTGTCGAGCTTTCCCAACCCCTATTTCGAATGAAAAATTATGTAATGACGTGTGAATTTTGTATTATTAAAATTTGAAGTATGGATACATTTTATATTAATGATTAAAATTTGAATTAGGCTATTTTGAGAGCTCGAGTTCACGTCAGTAGTCATTCGTTACATTTCCATGCGAAGTGGGGCAGGAAATCACTTCGTGAACCGTCATCTGTTCTGTTAAATAAAAATTAAATTTATCCTAAACTGTGTTTCTTTCCTCTATAGTTAAAAAAAATATCACACGTGACTAATGCACGGTATTTAGTAAAATGTTGATAACAATTTGAATTACATTCCTCGATTCTCACAACTTTAAATTTCATGTTTTTGTAAACATGAAATAAACGGATAAACACAGAAATATAACCCTGGACTTTTAGAATTTAGATTGAAATTAAATTCTTGTTTATTAAAACTTATTGTCTTAAACCCAAGTCACTCCTGCAGGCTTAGCATGAGTCCAAAGACAAAAGTTCTCTCTTCTTCGAACTGTCAATTTTGTCTCGAAAATGACGTCACTACGAATTTATCTCTAAGCGAGCATAAGGTCTATGAAATTTAAGACAATTTCTCTTAAACAACATAGCACGACAGCCAAATTTTGTATACTTTTGACAGATCGCCGTAGCGAAGTATCTACTACCCTTGGGGTAGAAGACAAGCGATGCTTTTAATTTAAATACTATATCCTTCTAATTCGTGATTTAAATTTAATAGTAATTTTATGCCATGAAAAGTCTCGTGCCTAAAGTAATTATTTATTAAGTTTTTACGAAGCAAAACTGGCACGTAGAGACAAAGAAGGACGGTACGCGAATTTTACGAACCGCTTCATCTCTCTGAGGCCGAGTTCCTCAGTAATTTAAAGGTGTCCTGTGAATTAATAGATTATTTGAAATGAAGGGAGGTTAGAGTTTTGCCTTTAAAAACTATTACCGGTTTAGTGTGACCGCTATGAAAATGAAAGGTAATTTTAGTTGCGGCAACTTATTTATCGCTACGTAGAGAAAAGTTTGTCTACGGTATAGAGTTTCTTATCCTGTTACGTCGTGCTCGGGGGTGAGACATAATCGATAGAGAAGAGAGAGATATCTCTACGTGCTTAAGTTTTGTCTATTTCCCCTCATACTAAGCCTGCTGTAAGGCTAGCATAATAGGGCGCGAATTGCGCGAGAGCGACATAAAACGCGAGATACTGCTATTTTTGCATAGAAATCCACGCTTAATGTCGCTCTCGCGCAAGTCGCATGTTGTCGTGCTAGCCCTACTGCCTACACACTTGGGGTACATGAAAAGAGCTTCCCCTCGCGACATATTATTCCTTTCCTGTGCCTCTATCGCGCCATGAGCAACAAACGGTGAGTACCTTACGCCGATTGACAAATCCTTTCACAACGATGGCAAGCATTATAGTGTATGCCATCAATAAGAAGAAGGGTAAAGAGTTGACTGTGTACGTATTTAGCGAAAGAGCGTATTAAGCTCAATTATATTAGCAAGAAAATGCGACTACTCAAAAATAAACAAAAACCTTCTATCAAGTCGATTCGATGTGACTTTTGTTAGCTGGCAAGGAGGTATTTTTTGTTAGTTCGGTATCGACACGCATCTTAGTAAAGTGTCTTCTACCGGTAACACACCCACACTGACTTCAAGGTTGAAATGTTGTTTCCTTTTCAGGGTAACACTAAATTAAATAACAGATTGTATCTAGTTGACAGTAACAAAATTAGTATTGTGTCTCCGGCGAAACATTAGACATACAAGCGTTTTGAAGTCATATTGCCTATTTAATAACATGCTTAATGCATATTAGGTATAATCAAATTGTGTAATATTATAATCACAAAAGTGTATTAGATATAATCAAAGACTTTAATCTACTAGTACATAGATGTCGATGGGTATAACTAGGTTTTGTAGTCAAATGGTTGCTCAGAGTTTTCGATAATACATATATCGCGAGTATATTGAGTAGGTACCCATAACCGAACATAGGACTAGGAAGAAGTAAAAAATAATAATACATATTATGTGTAGATAAAGGTAAATTGGAGTATATGACTATAAAATATTTTTAAATGATTGTATAGCGGAGAGGAAATAAAGCTTGGCACTTTGGATTTTGGACCGTTCTTGCTGTACTTAGGTATTAGACATAGAGTTGAATTTAAATGTTATGTGTCAAGATTGTCGTGCTCTTGACCTAGTATCTAACATTTATGTAAAAAGAAGTAGACAAGAATATATTTACGGAGAATTTTGTTTATTTTTGTTACAAATTCCCAATTTTTGTTACAAAATACATACGCAGGTTCTCGACATTGAACTTTCTGCAGCCACTCACACGTCGATAATGCAAATTTCATAACAAAATTTATAAACAGGGCTATTCTGGCAACTGTTGAATTCTCCGCATCCCACGCTTTGGACTAGACGAGTTCCGCCTGTTAGTATTGTACGAGCACTTTTCACGAACACTTGCCTTTGATAATTAGATTCAAGTAGACAAAAGTAAACTGTAACACCGTCATTCATTTAGGTGATTTGGATTTCCAGTAAGCGGTTTTGAGCTGACTACGAATGGGAACAAGATGCCAATTTTGTTCCTGTATTTATTTATCAATTTTATCGGTAAGAACTATTTTTCTGCTCCCCTTATCATATTATAACTAACGTAATAACATTATTAATGTATCTGGGATCAGCGAAACTATATCTAGAACCCCTTATACGAGTGCCATTTATATTTCGGGATTAGAGAACAATAACAAATACATTTCCAGACACCATAATTCGAGCCATCACGCATTTTCAGTATTAAGTGAAATATTTGATTGATCAAAAACTGTTATGCAATTTTGAAACTAGTATACTAAACGTCTTTTCCATAAGTCCTTGTTGGGAATTTGGATTCACAAAACCGGGGAAAACTTTTTCTTCGATGATAACACTATTTTTGTATTCTAGCCATTTACGACAAAACTGCGAGTTGGCTCGAATTATGTGTCCGGGAGTATATTTACCACAAAAATCACTTATTGTTTTTTTTAAATATTCCACATGAAGAGCAAAATACTTATGCATGCATTTAAACCAATTTTCGTAACACTTTTTCCACTCTAATTGAGATACCTCTAAAACATGCGTTTTAAATGCATCAAACGCTTCTACAGGCGTCAAAAAAGGTAAGACTTCGATTTTTTTTTTTTTTGATATGCAGAGATAAAAAGAAGTCATTGGGTACCAAATCAGAATTCTACGGCAGGTGACCCACCAAACCGACGTTACTTTTTTTATGTAACGACGTTATTTTGATTTAAATATTTTATAATATTGTGTAGAGAAAGTAAGAGTAAGGTTAAGGATGCTTTTAAAGAGTTTTGTAAACATTCGCCAACATGCTACATGCAACATGTTTCCTTCAAATGTTCTTCATTTTAAAACCACTTAGGTACACTATATAGGCCTATGCCGATGACGGAGCACCCACAACTTGATGCTTTGTCTAGGTCCTTTTCTTGATGCTTTGTTTAGGTTTATCTAGGTTAGTTAGTTAGGTGTTAACATAATTTTTCTGATAATCAAAGTGCAGAGAACTTCTTGGATTGAGACTACCTATTTCCTGTGATTGTCACTTTATTTTGTTTATCATTATTTAACATTCATACAATTTGGTAAACAATAGCTCAAAATTAAGAGTTAGTAAGTTGCGTAGCCTTGGTGTCATAAAGTGACATGTGATCACACGTCAAAGGTGCTTTTAGCAAATGTATTTTTAAAAATAATATGAACTACATGAAACTTCTGTCCTGAAAAGTTACCATTTTGCAGATATGACCTTATTACAAAAAGGGTGCGATATTTACACCATGTAAAACACACTAGACAAGACTTTAAACGTGCTTCAAAACCTTTATATTTAGAGCAACCATTCACGTCATTGTGAACTGTAAGTGCGAAATCACGAAACGAAGACAATTTAAATAGTTAGGTAGAATAATCTATTAATATCCAGGCTTTAAGCAAATAATAGAAAAACTATTAAACTTACAGGAAATATCGAAGCCCGCCAAACAGACCCAGATAGGTGAGTTGATGACTGACGCACGCATAAGCTTGACACAAAATGCGTATAGCATGTATGCTTATTGGTCACCTATTATTTCTTTAAACTCTTTATTTTACCCTAACACTCAATCTTAATTTCTTTTAACACTTAATTTTAATTAATTCTAACACTTAATTAATTTTAATTTTAATGGAAATACGAAAGAATGAAATCTTTCCGATATTTCAATGTATTTAGACATTGTCTGTAACTCTATTTCCACTGCTTTTTCTTGGTAACGTACTTACTTGTATTTTTGTCAGGAACATGTAGGCACTTGCCTACTTCAATAAACCTATTTCTAGATTTCGTTTTTCCGTAACAGAATAGAATACAGAAAGTAGACTACATCGACATTGCTACATAGTTAGACTTTGATTTATCGTCTTTAGTATCTTCTCTCAAACATTTATTTATCAATTTACACTAATCTATGTTTCTGCAATCCACCAACGGTCTGCGTCATACCACCTCTTGTAATTATCTTCACGATGTCTTGCTTGCTTATTATTTTTGAATCAACAGTGGAATTTGTGTATTTATTTTAAGTTTTTGATAATAAAATCAATGAAAATTTTTATACATTAGGTACCTACTATTGTCTCATAAAAGTCTTTTCTTCTAGAGTACGATTCTTAGAACCGGAAACAAAGTACAAAAATAATCGCCCAAATCGTAGTCGCTCACTTCCTGAAGCCTTTAACATAAGAACAAATGATTATGACAATAACAACGGCCGGTTCAGGTACCCGCGTATGCCACTGAAATTTCATCAGACGTATTCGCAGAGTCTAAAACCACCACTGAAAGTTTACGAACCTCGAGAAGACCCACGCCTTTTTTACCAAACTGATGCGTATCGTAAAGAAATCGTGGGGAAAAACGCAAATCATTATGAAGTTACATTCACATATCCAGGCCATGAAGTTGTCGGATTAAGTGAAAAGAAATACAGAATACGAAAACCTTCTAATAAACGATTGCGAGATCCACGTCAAGAAGCAGATATCAGAAAAGGTGAGGAGGTATCCAGTGACATTGGAAATATTAGATGTAATTAAACTACATTTTATTGTATTCATTTTTAACCAGTGAGGTGCTAATTTTTTGCAGACAACATTTGCATACGTTGTCCAAATGATCGGACCTTGATAGCGAGAACAGGTTACGATAGAGTTTTACTTCAGCCTCCTCATGTGTACACGTGCTCAGGCCTCAAAGCACCAAGAGATATCAGCTTTATCCCGATCCACGGACCGAAATTTGGGTCCTTTATACTAAAAGGATCGCACGTAATTTTTGGCAGAATTAGTTACAACGGTCAGGTAAAATAATTTGCTTAATATTATTGACTTGCCGTTTATACAGTATACAGATCTTGATATTCTATGAAATTTAATTTCTTTGCAGTCTTATCACCTATGCAAGATGCAGGTTCACGTTATAACTCAGACATGCGCTACACCGCCATATTTAGTGTCACATTGTGGAATTCGTGATAAACCTTGCAACTTTACCTGCCGTGATCCACACGCAGAAATATTTGGAAAGACCTCCCTGCTGTGTGGAAGTGACATGAAGTGGAAGGGCAATCTGCCTCTGTGTAAAGGTATGATTTAATTGTTTCCCTGACTTCATATTCTAGATAACTGATACGCGAGAATCTTTAATATCCAAAACCAAGCGTTTCAGTATTGCTATTCACCTACAAGAAGACTTCACAAGTATAAACTAAATCAGTCGACTTGAAACCAAATTATTAGATAATAATTATGTTTCAAGTCGACCTTTGACAACAACCTTCTATTCTTTATGCAACTCTAAATATAAATTAGAACTATCTTCGGATTGTACTAATTTATATTTAGAATAAATATTAGAGTAGAAATCTTTTGCTAGATAATAATAGCCTGTACTACATTACTATATCTTTTTCAACAGTTCAAAATTGGTGTAAAACACCTTCACCTCCACCTTACGGTCGTGTTAGTTGCATTGGAGCGATGGTGCCTGGTGGGTCTGGATTTATAGAAGATTCGAAGTGTCGAGTGAGGTGTGCACGCGGATATCGTTGGCACCGGGCGGTTGCAGTGTGTCGCCAAGGCTCTTGGTCTGCTAATCTTAAGTGCATCTTAAAGTCACGTATTCAGCTATAATGACAGGCTCACTTACTTTCTAAGACATAGGTAGTGCAAGTAGTCGGTGGAAACAAAAAACTAGATTACGAGTACTGTTTCTGCGTAGGGCTGTTCATAGGAACCAAATTGTAATCAAACTTTATAATTAGAGCAACTGTCGTATATATCGTAATGCTGGGAAACGTGACCCAATGTAGAAAAACATACGTGCATACTATTACACCTGTCTACTATTTTGCTTTCTTCACCGGTGTCAATCTGTTCTTAGTAGTGTTAGGCTCAACTCACACTGGCGCAGAGTCGAAGCGTCGCGTCGCGTCCTGTTTTTCAACTGCAACGCTTGGCGACGCGCGTCGACGCTCACATTAGAGCGCCCGAATCACAGTGTGGTCGGCGTCTGACGCCTCACTGCGCTCAAGTGGCGCGCGCGAAGCGGCTCGACTGTATCCAAGCGTCGACACCCGTTTCCATATTTGCATAACACAAATTTGTACCTTAATAATGGGAAAATAGAGATGAGTATATTCATCTTTATGAACACTTTCGCTGTACACTAAGAAATTGGCAGATGTTTAGTTTTGGTACATATTTTCAAATTATTTTTGTTAGACAGTTGTTTTATTTGTAGTGAAATATTTTTTCACATGTGAGATGTGAAAGTTATTTGAATAATGAACATAATTTTATATGCATTAAGTTTTCTGATATGCACTTAAACATTTCCCTTTTTAAATGACGTAATTTCTTAAGTAGGTACCTAGTAAATTTTAATAACTAACAGCCTTACTTATAAACACTATTTAACATTAAATAACGCTTTAAACAATGTTTTATAAAACTCCGACCTGTAAACGTTGATTAGTGCAGTGCTAAATGATTGATTAATTTGTTGTTTAAATAGCTGTCAACTTAAACACCGAACCTTCTTTAGCTCGCTAACTAACAGGATGGCTGACATTAATCAGCTGTTAGCAGATTAGAAAACGTCAATGAATTAAGTAGATTTGTTTTGATTTTTATTGTGAGAAAATGTTTACTTGTAATTGTGAAAAAATTTAACATTTTCGGCGTGATATAGCAGATTTACGGAAATTTGACGCAGGCGCACAAGGAACAAGAAACAATATGATCCACTACTACAGTTAGGTAGATGAACATGAATTTAGGAAACCACTCGTTTTTCCAAAGAATATATGTTAAGGATAATGAGTTTGTTAATGACTTGACAGCCATCTTTTTTAGGATTTCTAAAGCTATTTTGAATGGTTCAATCTTCTAATGTTACCACAGTAATTATTTTTTCTTCATTAAACATTACTTAACTAAGCGGTTTTTAACTTTGTTTATAGGTAATAGAAAGTTAAATAGTGTTTAAAATCATAAATAATGCTTAACTAAGTATTGATTAATGGGTTGTTTTTTATTAGTAAGGCTGCTATTGTTTATCCATTAATCTACGACTAAGAATCTTTATTGACTAGATTTATCTAGCCGGCCATTATTGGAAAATACTTATTTACATTTACTTATGCACCTCAATGTTAACTCCATACGTCAGTCAGCAAACAATCCTCCAGATATTAAAATGATAAACACGTTCATCTTGGTGCGCACCACCGGTGGAGCACGGGCAACTCGCCTATCAGATAGAGTGTGCGACCAGTTGACGTTTGATTTATTAAGAAATCTGTTGGCGCCCTGTTCTAAGAAATCCGTATTGCGCAGTCAAATTTTCATAGTGTAGTTATGAGTGTGATAGTACGAAGGTTAAAAAATCAAGGTTAATAATCTCAGTACACAGTACTAAAAGAACCGGCCTCAAAAGTTCGTGGAAGTACATCTATTTGCCAAGTTTCATTGACATCGGATACCGGAAAGTGCGCGAAACCGTAATCATCCCCTAGTTCGCCACCCTTAGAAGTGGAATATTTTCTTCCAATTTAATCTGGACCACTGCTGAGGTACCCTCTTTCCAACAAAAAAGAAACATCAAAATCGGTTCACAAATTCGCGAGTTATCGCGTAACATTCATGCAAAAAAACAACAGTCAAATTGTTCACCCCTCCGTTTGTGTGTCGGCTAAAAAAGTATTTATTAAAAAGTAACTAGAAATATAATAGAAAATCTAGAATAAACACTAATAAAATAGGCTCCTCGCCTGACTAAACCTTTTGTTTATGCGGCGGTGATGCATCACCGGTGGGCCATACGAAAATCTGTCCTGTCGGATAGCAAAATATTGTCATTATGATTGCGGTTTAAACGTGTTAATAATTTATATTATTATATGCCAAATAATAATAATAATAATAATAATCCTTTATTTTCTTAACACAGTTTAGTGTAGTTTCTAGTGGCAAAATTAAAATGATGTGAGCTGTATGGTATAATGATTTTATGTAATTTCTAAAGGTTGCCTACTATATTGGGTAAAAAAAGAGGCCCGAACACAATACATAACAGGTGATTGTTATTATAACAGATTAGGTTAATGTTTGGTTTATCATAAAAATTAAAAATAGTTGTTTTGTTAAAGTTGTTGCATATTATGTGTACGATTATTACCAGAAGTATGGAATCTTTCTGTTACGCTTTAAGTGAATATGTAAATGCATGTAGGTAAACGATATCGAAGCACTAGATGTAGGTACTTATTTATATTATTATAAAATTTACTTTAGAATGTGCTACCTACTTACTACGTTAGGTACTAGTAAGGTATGTATATCACATAATTATAATACTGTTACCGTAAAATATTGTTTCTGTAAGATATAATAAGACGCGAAGAATAAAAGAGTTTTGTCTTTTAAGTCTATCTAAATCCTTCACCGATTTATTGTCTAGGGCAAATTATGCAAATATCTATAATAAATCTTCATTTATTTAATATGACATTTTATGCCGAAATAAAAAGTATTATAACATAATTTGCGAAAGAAAGTTCTAAATAAATTGTTAATAAAAAGTTATATTTATAGTACTCCTAATTTATTTAGGGGCTTTGATCAATATTGAACATATCAGCCCTATTGGAGAAACGATACAACAAGAAAACACTTAATAAAATCCAGACAGATAAATGAAAATACTGCTCCAAACATTTATACAAAAGCTTCACGGCACTACTTTGTTGGCTCCGACAAAACGGATTGAAACCACCCAACATTAAATGTACGGAAACCAACCCGTGCAAATAACCATAATAAAAAAGTTCTATTATGATTGGGTACGTAAACGTAATTTTTTTTAATGTCTGCTGTAACTTCAATAAACACAATAACAATATATGATATTGGTGTTATTTCCATAAAACTTTCCACACCCAATTTGAAGGCTTAATTACGGAAAATATTTGGAAGGAAATCGAAAAAGGTACAGTATGTGCTTACATGAAACATGTTATGTAACTATATTTTTTCAAAAAATACCGCCAGATCTCAGAGGACGGAAAAAGTCGAAGCGCCAGATTGATCAACTGCCGCCCTCTAGCGGGCCGGGACTGTACACTTTTTTGTTTTTTTATTCGTTGAGCATTGGCTATAGAGCCATCAGCTTATACAAGCAACACAGCATTAAGAAACTTAAAACGTATTAATGCTTAAAATTAAAAATTAATTTGTGAAGAAACCATAGATTTTGGGTACCTATCATTGACTTACAATTATATGGACGTCGGGTCCGCGCTAAAAAGTGTCCGAACTTGTAAGGCGCTAAAATCGTATACAGAGCGTGAAACTCCGCTTTAGTCTTCGTTTGTTCGACTGACAGCGCGCTTGTCAATGATGCCGTATTGTGTAGTAAAACCTTGTAAAAATTACTCACGTAAAGTGAAAAAACAGGATGGTATATCATATTTTCAGTAAGTATTACATTGTGTTATCACAGTTATCATTTAATAGTGTTATTTTATGCACTAGTATATATAGTATTTAATTTATATTTAAATTAATCGTAAATATAAATTACAAAAGCAATCAAAATAATCAAATAGCTAACTGTCTCTTTCCGACTCATTGCTTGCGTAAAAGACTGAATGAGACCCAACACGTCAATTTCAATTGTTTCAAACACAAGCGTTTGAAATATTTAGAACAAAAATTTCATAGAGTCGCTTTGATGCTAATTTTATTATTAAAATATTTTTTAATACATGTTAGTAATACTTTCAAATATTGTTGTACTCTTTCTACGGCTTGGGGTTACGAATCAGAAGACCGAAAATACCTTTGCCCGAAATAACATTTCATGAATTTCCATAATCCCGAAAGTATTTTTTTAGGTTTTTTTTTTTAGAATATTACAAAACAAACCTAAGCTAACTTAATCTTTTCTTTATAATAAGCATCCAAAGCTCCCTAAAGCATAGTTTTATTATGAATCGGTTTTCAGGATTATGAAAATTTGGCTTTACGTTGAATTTGAATTTAAAAAATCAAAACATCGGTACATTTCTTATGGCATGGCAAAATAAATGTATTTATTTCAGTTTTCCTCGAGATCCTATACGTTGCTCACTATGGAGAAATATAATAGCTGAATCGCGACGAGAAGAACATTTTATCCCGAAAATATACAAATTTGTTTGCTCGGCTCATTTCAGACAATCGGATATGTATATAACCAGCAAAGGCTTACGAAAATTTAAAAAAACAGCTTTGCCAACATTGCTAGTAAGAACTGGTTTTTGGTGCCTAGGCATTGCTTATATCCTTTCTATCGATTTAAATAAATATAAATAAATGTTAGACAACATCATATATTTATTAACTTTCGCTATGTTTCTTTATAGTTGAACAATAATAATAATACAAGAAACGACAAATTTGACGAAACTGCAGCAACTAGTGTTTTAACTGCTAACAAGACGGTAAGATTACATGTTTGGCAATAAATGAGTTTTAAATTGTGAACACATCAAAGGTTTTTAGCAGGTACGTACAATTATTGTAATATCAATTAACTTTTTATTTTTAGACTGAGATCAATAATGACAGAGCTGAAATCAATGAAATTGCAATAACAAGTGTTTCAGCACCCGATGATATGGTAAGATAACTTCAATATGTTGCACTACCTAATTTAACTATTCCTAATCTTTTATTTAAAACGCATTTCGTTTATATTATGTGTGTTATTTTCAGATTTCTTCAGAAATAAATCACGATTCAGAAACACCTTCAACCAGTTTATTTTCGCAAGAGCAGCTCATAACCACTCTGGAATCTCCGACTACATCATTAAGCATAGGATCGATATTGGACAGTCCGAGAAAAGTCGTATTAAAAAAAGATCTTCGGGCATGCAAAAAGCAAATACTAATGAAGAATAGAAAAATAAATAATTTACAAAAGATGACCAACCGGTTTAAGAAGAAATGTATTACTTTAAAAAATGCCTTAACCTTATTAAAAAAGTCAGGGTTTTGAAGAATCGTTGATACAAGATTTATCGCAGCATGTAGAGGTAACTGATGCATTCAATGCTCTTTACCTAAAAAACGTTAAAAATAAAAAAAGACCTTTTGCTAAATATCCTCCCGGAGCCCGAAAATTTGCAATCACGTTACATTTCTATTCACCCGCCGCGTACAAATACCTGAGACGAATGTTTAACTCGTGTTTACCCCACCCAAGCACTTTATACGACTGGTATAGAAGTGTAGAAGCTGAACCAGGTTTTACAGCTGAAACATTGGATAGATTAAACGATAAATCTAAAATCACAGAGAAAGAAACAATATGTGCCATGATTGTAGATGAAATGTCCATAAGACAGCAAAAGATATGGAATGGCAAAAAATATGAAGGCGTTGTGGACTTGGGTATTGAAACAGCTGACACTAATGAAACTGCGACTCAAGCATAATGTTATCTTGTTGGTCTCCGTAAATGATTCCTGGAAAATACCACTAGCATATTTTTTAATCACAAGCTCGACAGCGGAAATGAAAACAAATATAATTAAAATTGCGCTAACAAAATGCCATATGGCTGGAGTAAAGATAGTGTCAGTTACATTTGATGGATGCAAAAGTAATATTGCCACATGAAATTATTAGGTTGTGATATTACTAACTGTAAATCTCTTAAAACTCATTTTAAGCACCCAGTCGCGGATTACGAAGTGGTCATTTTTTTAGACGCTTGTCATATGATAAAACTTATGCGCAATACGTTGGAAGCAAGGAAGATTATATACAATTCTAATAAAAAACCGATTAAATGGAAATTTTTTGCAGATCTTCATAAAATACAAGAAAAGAATTGTTTGCATCTTGCCAACAAACTTACACACAGGCTATTGCCTTCAGAAATGAAATTATGAAGGTGAAACTGGCCACCCAACTATTCAGTAAAAGTGTGGCAAAAGCTATGGAATTCTGTGAGACTGAACCTAAATTGCCAGAATTTCAAGACTCGGCTGCTACTACTGAGTGCATAGGAGTGTTGAACGATGCCTTCGATATTTTAAATTCACGGAATTTTAATAATTACGGATTTAAGCAACCGTTATGTACCAAAAATGCTGATAAAATACTTGCTCGGTTGGAGCAAGCTGAAGAATACTTTACCTCTATGAGTGTTAACATTCAACGAAAAAGAAACTTAAAAAAAAAGCTCGAGACTAGAACTATATTTCGCATTGAAAATTTATCTTTAATAAAATGCCAATCTAATACAGGTGTCCTAGGTCTACTAGTATGCATAAAAAGTATACAATATCTGTACACAACATTAGTGCTAATCAATGAAGTTTCCTTTTTGACAGCATACAAATTTAGCCAAGATCATGTGGAGCTATTTTTCGGAAATATAAGAAGTCAGGGAGGCTTTAATAATAATCCGAACTCACGGCAATTCAAATCGGCGTATAAAAAACTCGTAATGCACCTTGAGTTAGACTCGAAATTTTCAGGAAACGCCATTCCTTTAGAAAATATTCCTATTTTAACCTGTGGCAATACAGTGTCAAATATAAATAATTCCTCGATTGGCTACCGGTACAACCTGGAACTTGAAATCACGTGCGAAGAAAGCAATGCATTGGTGGATCAGCAACTTCAAGGGACATGTGATCAGATGTCATCGGCTATAGAACACTCGGACGTCGCATGCGATTATATTGATCAAGTTGTGGGTTATATTGCCGGATTCGTTGTAAGACACCTCCTAAAAAGAATTAAGTGTTCTGACTGTAAGAAAGCATTACTGGCAACAAATCACTTATGGTTTCACAAATTGGTCGACATAAAAACTATGGGCGGACTTTTTTATGCGGCGGAGGATGTTTTTAAGATTTGCAAAAAAAAAAACAGAAGAAAATTTACGGCGATATTTACGAATTAACAGTGTAATGGAGAAAGCAGATATTTGTAAAACTGTTATGAAAACTTTCGTACAACAAAATATATTTCAAAAAATTCACATGCACTCAATGGAACAACCAGCCATGTTCAATCATAGAATAGGCTTATTAAAAGCTGTAACTGAAAAATATATAGATGTGCGATTGCATTATATTGGTAAAAACGAAACATTTGACAAGAAAACTAAATCCAAACGTCAACTTTACAATAAGTTAAATTTATTTCAAGGCAATTAACGTAAATACACTAGTTTAGTTTATATGAGGTGATACAAGACCGTGCATGTCAGTGCTTCGCCAACGAGTGCGTTATAAATGGGTGTGTATTTGCTCTGGAACATTCTGCTAGTAAAATTAAGTTTTTCTATAAGCTTTAGCTCTAAATGCATATTTTTTTAGTAATTCAATAAGTCAAAAATGTGTACTGCAATAGGGTTTCTTTAAGAAATTATAATGAAATTTTTTATACTGTAAATCAGGATAGTTAGGTAGGTATTTTCTGACAAGTAGGTGATATTGATTTACTTCATTTTGGTTTAAATTTGATGAATAACTAAATGATACATACAGTGTAGGCACTATTAGTAATCAAACTCACCTCTCGTACTACTTTCCAAACTGCGAGTGACCTAATTATTAAAATGTAGAATAAATAATCTTCATCCCTACGTAAAAATAGTCTAATGTAACTCTTAACAAAATCTAACTGCCTCTGTGGCCGAACGGTTACCATGCCGGACTGCCACGCAGAGGTCCCAAGTTCTATTCCCGGGCCGGGAGAAATATGTGTATGGCCTACATTTATTTATCTCGTGAGTTTGGGTGTAATTTGTGGTTGTCTATATGTGTGTCCATGGCACCCGCGACACGGGGTTTCCCTAATGCGGGGCAATGTTGAGTGTGTGCGTTATTATAATAATTATTATTATTAATTAGTACCTAAGTGTTCATTATGGAAAGCGTTTCTCTTGCGCAATCAATATCACGCAATTTAATTTGTAATTATCTCACAACGGCAAATACCCTACTACCGTCATAGCCGTGCTTTTTCATGCACAAGAAACATTTGCAAGAACTATGAGCAGTACGACTATGCCTGTTGATGGAATCAACCGTCGTCAGTCATAAACCGTAATAATTATATTGAATCAATGTAAGCACTACGGCATATAGAAAAGTGGTGACGTTTTTGAACGCAGTATAATTTCAGTACTATGCACGGACGGGTTAAGAAAATGGTAAGAAAAGAAAGGAAACCAGAGCTGATGCAAGCTTGATAAAAGACCATTATATTAAAGCTTTGGTATGTGATTACATCAATGAGTGAACTGTGCATAAAAAGGAGAGAATACAGGAATTTATTCAGTAAACTTAGCTTGAACTTAAGAGGAAAGTGACAAGTATTAACAGAGAACATTTTACACCGCCAAAATGCATTAAAAATCAAAAGTTGGATGAATGACAAAATATACCAACTTAAGAAACAAAGAAGGTAATTGAAGCAGACTGACAGTGCAAATTAAATAGGATTTTTTTTAAAGTTTAAGCAATTTGTAGCTTTCACATGCAAACAATGCATAATAATACAAATAGTACAAACTTGATAGCCTAACGATTTGCACTGTGGGCACTGGATGAGAAGTTCCCGGGTTCGATAGCGGTAGGATCAATTTAACAAATTAACTTTTCCAAATGGTTCTGGTCTTGGTATTCTGTTGTAAGACAATCATCTGGTCTGGAACTAGGGAACTCACTGTACATACTCCCCATGAGTATCAGAGTAACAGAATCCCAGAGCAGAACTAATTTACAAAAGTTCATTTCCCAAATTGGTTCTACCGGGAATCGAACCTGGGAACAAGAACGATGGAATTTATTTCAGGGCACAACTCAGAACACCCAGGCCAAAACAACTTTCGAAAAGTTCTCATTTAGTTTTATAGTTGATTGAGCTGATTTTTTACGGTTTTAAAAAAAAATCTCGAATAATCCGCGAAATCGGGTACGAGAATTCTCGAACCTCAAGAAAAAAAATCAGACACCCTACCTCGTAATGAATGGCATTGTATAAAATTCAACATTTACATATAAAATTTATTCATAAATAATAAAGGCTACTCCATTATACCTGTGTTCAAGTACTTTTCATTAGAAACTACATATAGTGCATTTTGGTAAGTTTCCAGTAGAAGCTGAATATGGTGTTTTTTTGCGTCTTTCAATTGTTGCAAGCAAAATTAGACAGTACTGCGATGACATTACGGTTTAAATTCAACGTTTTAGCTTTTTCATATTCCTTTACATGTCACTACGTTTAAATAGGTTGACTTGGGACATATTTTTTCGTAGTTTTTGTATTAAACCCGTCGTCCATATAATTGTAAGTCAATGGTACCTATATAATCTATACAAGAAACTGTATTCTATTCTATTTCCTTAATAGCAGCCACTAGGCTTGGGCCAGCAAAAACCTGCCAATCTTGTACACATTTTTTTATTATCGCTTATTTGGTTCAATTAATGTGTTACAAAAAATTTATTCTTCTAGTTAAGTGCATGTCTAAAATCTGTTTTATTTATTTACTAATCACTTTTGCCCTATAAATTAATTTTATCGCCCACGTTGCGTAATATTTGTGTATACATTTTATTTTCGTCGTTATTTTGTAATACTGTTATTTTAGTACCAGCAAAACTGTTTGAATAAAACGGTAGCTCACCGCGCTTTTGAAAATCGAATGAAACGAGTTTTGACACTTAGAGCCGTTAGATGTTTTGATTTTTGTTCGCAACGCAAACGAACCAATTTACTTTATCTAACCCAGATAATGTTTTGGTTACAATAATGTGTGTATGATCGTGTTAATTGTGGCGAAAGACTCATTAGCAGAACCAGAGTTTGTGCTCTCTATAAAGATGGGAAGTAATAGCAGTAAACAGAACAATGAGGCAGCTGCTCAATTGCAAAAAAACAATGATGTTGTTGATGGTAATTCGGATCCCAGGTCGCCAACACCTGAGATTGTACGGACGCCGTTACAGGTACTTAGCAATTAGGGTTTACTTATCCTACGTACACCTAGGTACTGTGGAAGCTTATGTTAGGAAATTACTTAATCGAATAAGTTGATTTTACATCTAATAATTGAGTATGTAACTATTTCTAATAAATTTTTCAGGTTCCGTTGTTCGTATATTATCTAACAGTATATTTATCTGTTATAGGGCAAAGCTGGAATGAAGCATAACATTACTAAAAATGCCGACTTACGAAAGACGTTCGAAAACTCTAATGGCGAAGAAAAATTGATTCACAACAATCCTATACTTTCAGCTGTTATAAAGAATCATTTACAGTCTTATGACCCTCGTTCACCGACACAAGAATTTGAACGCACTCCCATTATAATTGCATCGAAAATCGAGGACTTCGCCAATGACAAGAAGCTACTTCAGCAAAATAAGTATAACTTTGGAAGCCCATGTTTGGGGAAAGATGATAGTGATGAAAACTATGACAGCTGTGCAGAAGCACAAGAAAGCCCAGATATTATGGTCCCTAAAAATCTTTGCAATGGTTTCCTTGACATGACATTGAATGAAACATTAAATGATACGGGTGAACCTTTAGGATCATCTACAGCTTCAAATGAAGCTATTGAGAATAATATCTCCAATAGAAAAAGTGCGAAAGCAACACAGTTGTTAGAAACAAGTTTTGATTATGTTGAGACTGACCAAATCGCATGTAATAAAGAAGAAGCTGTAGTTGATGATGAACCAAAATATGATTTGGAACACATACCTATGTACAAAATTTTGAATGAAGATCCTAGATCACCAACAGCAGAGATAGAGAGGACCCCCATAGTTGTTGCAAAATGTAAAGATACAAACGAAGACAATGTTGAAGACATGTCAGATGACACTCTGATTAAAGTTCTTCAAACTGCAAATTCAGGTTTACGTCAGTCTGTGAGGTCATGTGATGGCATTGAAGGGGGATTATTGATTTATGAAGATGAATCTGGTGATATGCTTGAAACCCTAAAGAAATCTAAATCTCGCTCTAATAGCGGGTCCAGAACTCCATTGTCCTGTATGAAAAATAAAGAGGCAACACACACCCGATCCAAATCAGCTAAAACAGTACAAGATCCTAAGAATCAAGCAATGTTACCTACAAAAAATGTGAAAAGGGTATCACAGATTCCTCGTTTGAAATGTTTAACAAAGTCTTCTAAGTTAACTCCTAGTGGGGACACAGTGTCTTTAAAAAATGCAATAACTAAATTAACAGTTCTTGGAGTGGATTGTGAGAACACTCCTCCTCACTCACACCGTGATAGGTGGGACAAGGACAACAGTATTGTCTTGTAATAAACAGCTTTAGTATTAAAATTGTATTATTAGCCTATTCTCAAGCCAATGAGACTCGATTGAATAATAAATGAAACTTTTGAAATAATTAACTTTTTATTATGTAATAGTGATATGGATTGCCATATCTGTTTATTATTAACACCAAATCAACTCAAACCGACATGGTGTTTCTAGTCTCCTTGGCCAGGCTTTGTGTCTTTGAAATAATTGTTAAATTTACATTGACCTTTCTTATAATGTTTATTGTTAGATGTTTTGTCAATTTGAATTCCTCAAGTACCTATTGACATAAAGACTTATTGACCCTTATTTAGTAATTGTAAGTACTTATACTTCTAATAAAGACATTTCTCAAAAATGAAAACTTATTTTGTTTTCCTTCTCCTTGAACTTACACTATTAGGAAGTAGTCGCATGAGCTACATTATGACTGCGTAATGTAAAACTGTCGGTTTCACTGCCAACTTGAAAGCTCTGAGAATATACTTTATAGGTTGCGAAAGGCAGGTATAACACCATTGGCTAAAGGTGCCTACAGATTTGCTCGATTTTTGACGATCATTATTATTAGGTGCTCGATATGCACGGTTTTGTCGATCAACGAGATCTGTCAGCCAGCTAAAAGATTCGTTCGCTTTTATCCATCACTGTCGCCTGCTAGCGATTGAGGGGAGATCAGGGAGGGCTAAAAACGAACAAAATAGACATGCGACTTACTTAAATTCCAGTGTCGATCTACAAAAAATCACAATCAATAATACAATCGAACGTGTGTTCTTTCATTGTTACTCGATTTTGTCGATCACACGTGTTGATCGACAATAATATATGATATCGATCGTCTCGTTCCTTTCAGTTACTCAATTTTGATTGATTACACGGGTCGGTCGTCAAAAATCGAGCAAATCTGTAAGGCTGATTGATTACACACGGCGCCGTAACAATCGCGGCGCGCCGCAGTTGTAATCGCTCTTGTATTTGCTTACACACTTTCATACACGCACCGCGGGCGGCGAAGTTGCTTGAAACCGCAGTGGCAGCGCTGCCGTTGATTACGCCGCATGGGCTGGTGTCACGTCACTGGTGCTGCGGTATGGCACCGCAACTCTTGCGGCCTCGCGCGCGGCTAAAAACGTCGCTGTCATGCGCCGCGGGGCCATGTGTAATCAGTTTAAGCACCTAATAAGTGTGGGTTTCATCGTCCCATCTCAAACACCAATAATGAAAGGTTTCCGAAAATAAGAACAAATTAAGATTTAAATTAATTTATTCCAATTATGCTTTGCATACACTGGTAAATAATTAAAAATTACACATGAAGATGTCAGCGTCAAAATGGAGCATTCAAAGCGAAAATATGTGAACATGATAAAAATTATCCTTAATTTCCAGTTACACTGTTAAATAAAATTTAAATTCGTCCGAAAACAATTGCAACTAATTACTGCGTTAAGGTTGATTTTGACCAAATGTTCATATAGTTTCACAGGTGTATATTTTTGATCACTCATTTTGCTCATCATTTTGATATTGACTGTACCTACCTATTTAGTTACTTGATTGCAAATATAGCTTTTTATTATAAAAATTAATCACAGTAGTCAAACTGAATTACGATACATTATAATCACACAATATTATTGCAAATACATTATGCATTAGTATAATCAGTTTATTTTGCAATACTTTTCATGGAATGGATTTGAGACATACTTATTCCACAATGAAAAATGACTGAAAAGATGTAAACAATTATTGTTGTACAATAAGCTTTGTAACATTGCATTTTCTTACTAATTTATAAGAGATATTAAATTAAACTTTTCCTTCCGCACACCTCTTACAGTCCTCGTAAAGCTACAAAAATAAAAATAAATCATAGTTAGTTATTAATTTTTTGAGATTACGAAACAATTAAGTAGAAAAATACGATCCAGTTACTTCAAACTGAGCCTACGGGATGCCCTTCGTTTCCACTAGTTCTATTGAGTAGTCCTATTATATGTAGAACCACTGCACTGGGACAAAAAGGTCCTAGTAGTTCTTTATGCTACCGCGGTCCAGTAACACTATACCAAAGTATCTATGACATTGAATAACTCAAGCCAGACAATTTAATTTGAAACAAATTTTTGAACTTTCCATACCAACCTGCCTTTAATACACAATATTAGGGTAGATAATATAAGGTGGAAGGAACCTTTTTTTAATATTTCGCAATAAAATGTATCAGTAGATACGATAGACCCTTTTATAGTCTAAAATATTACTGGACGCTTTCTCAACACCTTATGTGACTAAGTAACAACCGAGAAGCGAGTATGAAAGCATTAATGATTGTTGAAGAGGCTAAAGGTGTGCGTAGCAAGTTGAAAGCTCTGTTGAAGTGGTTTCTGCCTACCCCGATGAGAAAAGGGCGTGTGCGAAGCGTTATAACGTATGAATACAACATAACAAGTTTATGTACGATTTATATAGCTTAAAACTGTCACAATTACGTATCCTACATTTCCAAAGTTATTTTGGAGAATGAAACCGTTTAAATGTTCATTTATTTTGGGGATACCGTTTACATCTTCATTCATTTTGACATAGGAAACTTATTTACAATTAAGCTTCTTCATATTAGTGTGTCAAACTGACTTTGAAACTACTATTTAACATTATTAAACGAATTTTCTAAAGCTTTAAAACAATTGAATCTGATGACTCTAATTACATTAAGCTAATATACACTAACATTAATAGCTTCCAAATTATTTATAAGCTGTGAAATCTAATTGTGCTTTGGATAGATAAAAAATAGTCGGGGAAACGTACTACGCTACGTTATAAAGTAACACTCTTGCATACTACGCTACGTTATAAAGTAACACTCTTGCATATTACTATGATAATTTAACCAAAGCTAATTTAGAAATGAATTGATCGAAACTAGGCTGATCAACTGCTACATTTGGACCCTTAAAGTGATGCCATTTTTTGAGATAAAAAAGCTCATGGCATCAATAAAAGTAATTTATTTAAAATTTATCTTTAAGTCGTAAATGCAATTTGAAATATGTTAGCTGTTATTATGTTACGAATTAACTGCATAGTTAATAATACAAAGGTTTCTACAGCGCAGGATGCAGGAATGGAATGATTAACATAATCTCTGAGGTAAGTAAAATATTTCCTTTGGTGTCACAAAATTTAAAAATAGCGGCGGAAACTATTGTATGATGTAAACCAATATCATTTGTGTGATATTGTTAAAGCGCGTAAGGACCTATTTTTAAAGTAATGGACCTTCTTACCGGTGTTAGTGTGACATAAAAATAAATCTTAATTTATTAAAAGTATTATTTCTTTGCTCTACTTAATCAATAAAAATGTTAACATAGGAAATGAAACTATTTTTCCGGGTTTAAATCGCGTATATTTGTTTTTTCAAACAAACCAACGTTTCGGGCGCTTCACAGATCTCATGGTCACGGTTGACTGTGACCGCAATTTAAATCAGAAAAATAGTTATAGGAAGGTTATAGGTATATACGAGGTATTCACTAGAAGACGATTTGCAGCCTAGATAGGAAAAGGCAAGGCAGATTCGATTTGGCACTATAATAATAAATTGGTCTAACACAAGAATAATGGAATGTATGAGTGCTGTACAAATAATATTCATTAATTGCATATTAGTTAGCTCTTGATGATAGACTTGTAAAATTTAAAAGGCCAGCTTTTAGCCAGTCCAAAAGCTAGCATTTCAAACCTATTTATATATGTCAAAAATACAAGTTAATTAAAATGATTTAATTTGAAATAAATGTTACTACTGCCTCTACATGGACATATACTCTAAAGACAATAGAGATTCTTCTAGTACGCACGAACAATACCACTATATCTAAACTACCAAGATTCTTAAAATGAAGATCATAATAATGATGCATTATAAAGACGTGACAGTTGCGCTTGGTACACAAAAAATATATACAGAAAAAATAGGAATATAAATACGTTAATAATATCTATATATATCTAAGTAAGTAATAAGTCTTAGTTATGCACACATATATGATGCAATATTCAGGCAAATCGACGCAATTAGAGCAACACGAATTGCACAACATCCATAGCGGATTAGCTTTGCTTGCTGACTCGTAAATATAACACTCAATGTAGTATGGACACAATGCTGAAGCATGGTGACAAGTGGGGTCCGATCCTTATCTATGCATGCTAAGCGCATTGAATACATTCAGCCACACGTCAAGTTTGAATAAAGTCAAATAAAGTTATAATTTCCAAATAACTATTCTGATATTTTGTATGACTTTATCTGTGTGTTTGTAAAATTACTCCATAAAATTTAAATCGGACATTTTAAAAAGAGTGATTCGTAAAGTACCAAACAATTGAGCATTGTGGCGTCAAAATCTGTAGCGGATTTTCATCAGTTGTATATTGACCACTCAGTAATCCGTTACAATAAAGTTCGTATTTTTTTGTATATTAGAGGCATAATATTGAAATGTGAAATAAAAAATTCACAATTATGTGAACAACGTGGACAATTAACGCCATTTAATGGCAATACAATACTGTTATCTCACGTAATATTCGAGGTAGTTTTTTTTTGTTAATTACCAATACATTATATAAAACAATTTTTCAAATTTCTACACATGGGGCATTTGTATGGCAATTAAACTTATTCTAACATCAATACATTTAAATCTAACATTCATGTAACGTCGACTCAGGGGCTCTTAAAAATGACGTAATTATCCACTTTTAATCACGTATTGTTAAGCAATACGCTGAAACACTGCGATTGAAATTATGGCCAATTTCAAAATTGAAATTACGATTTGTTATAGGCGTGGAACATATTCATAGTTTAGCTACACAACAACAAATGCCACTTTAACCATAACCACATTATTTTCAAAGATGTCTACAGATTTGCTAGATTTTTGACGATCGTTACTCTCGCTCGATATGAAGTATTTGACGATCAATAATATCGCTTGTTAGAGATCGATAAATATCAATGTTACAAACGAACAAAGTCGTAGGCACCTACGCCTCATTATATTTCAGTGTCGATCGTCAAAAAAATTGTTGCCCATCATCTGTTGCTTACACATTTGCTCGTTTTGTTTAATCACATGTGTCGATCGTCAAAAAATCGAGCAAACCTGTAGGGATCTTTAGACGAACAGAGTTTTTCATTGACCCTTTTGGACCAGGTTGAATGAAGAAAATGATAATTTATAATAATGAATTCCTAATTTGAAGTGTGTTGATATACTTGTGTCGTTTAATTTCTTATCGCCCCTGAGTCCTATAACAGTGACAAGAAAAGCAACTACGACATAATCATGCTCCATGCAAATTCACTCTTCACTTTTTGTTGGTCCATCTGGCATTGTATTCTCCAGTTTTGCGTGTTCTGTAAAGTGTTAATCTATAAAACACACGCAAACGCATATGTTAGTCAATATTACATTAGGTTAGATTTAGTAAGGTATAAAATTATAGAAAGTAATAAGTAATAACATTAGATTTTAATTTAGATCAAAACAAAAACAAACTTCAAATATGTTGTTTCAGAAAATAACGTATTGAAAACAAACTGTTCCTAGAAAAGATTCGACTTTTGTAATTTTGGGTTCAGATTAAAAAGGTGTCATTTGATTTAAAGACAACATTACAACTCAAAATAGTAATGAGTAGCACAAAAAGTTTATAACACAATAGTAGGTACCTCAATAATAATATCATCTTATGTTTTGTTATTTACAGATAAGATTGTGTAAAACAATATAGGAGACAAAAACAGTTACATCATAGAAGATAAGTTGTTTTTAAAAATCTATTTTAGTACAGTATTTATCACTATCTGTTTGTTCTTTTTATATAATTTAAAATAAATTTGTGGAACATTGTGTGTACCTACCTATAGGTTAAAACACGCAAGCAACGTTGCCAATGCTAACTGTTCAAAATCCCCAAAAATCGCGGTTAAAATCTCCAATTTGGGGAGAGCATAATTCATATTCCCCACAATTTCCCCACATCTCGAGTTTTCATTATTTATTATAAATACATCGCTTCAAAATATAATAAAGAATGAAGAAACTCAAAATATAACCATCAGAATGTAAAATGTAAAGCAAATTATACAATTAGATGACCTTACGTTGTTTATTTATTTTAATGAGATTCTATCGGTCTTTGAAAAAAGATCATTTTTCTTTTCCTTACAAAATTAAGCAACTTAATTATTTGTTGCGTTTTTGGCGACACTATGTTAATGTTAGACATAATCAATGAGTAAATTAAGTTTCGACCTACAATTTTAATATTTAAAGTTGACGAGTTACCACTCGTCAACTTTAAATACTTACCAGTTGTGGTGTGGAAGTACCAACTGTTCGGCTTTGTTTATCAATGACTGATTTCGTTTGTCTTCATACCGGGGACCGGCCTAAGCGGGAGAAAGGACCGCGAACTCAACACGTAACTACTGGTAATTTTATGATTCAGGACCAAGTGCTCTGATAATAATTCTGTTTAAGTTGTTTGTTAATAATGCGAGAGACGTGCGATGTTGAAAAACACATCGGTATAGTTCATCACAGTGTTTCTTACAGTAACAATTACAATAGCGATGCATCGGCAATCGATACAAAATGATAAAATGTTAGATTCCCCACATTTTCCCCACATAGAGCCAATCCCCAAAAAGTCCCCAATCTACTTGAAATTCCCTGCAATTTGAGGAATTCCCCACAAATTGGCAACGCTGCATGTTAGTGGTAGGTATAGTAGCAATAGAAAAATAGTTGCACATATATACAGTAACACAGTAATTATGAACTTATTTCAAGTTGTATTTACAGTCCAACGTAATCCAACAATTAAAAATAATTAAAGGCACTTTTTCTTGAAAATGGAACTATTATTTCTGTTCTAAATCGCATGTTTGTTTTTCAAACACTAGAATTTTTGTCTCTACGATATCCATGGTAGGGATGCACGATTTTTTGCTTTGAATCGATTTCTTGGATCGTCATGGACCATAATCCTCTGAATCGATCCACAGATCGAATCGTATGCTCTTGAATGAATCTCATAAAAATAGTTTCAATATCAATTTCGATAAAAAAAATAATTTTGACAGCCTTTTTGGCTTCAATCGGTTACGACTTTCATTAAGAGTGATACTTACTAGCCAGTCAGAAAAGACGTTCAGATGGCACAGAAGTAGCGACAATTGCCAAATATTGTAGACTTATTGTACTCAGATGTTGCCAAACTGCTTTTCTTGCAGGCCAATATTCAGAAGATTGTTTTGTTTAAATTATGAATACGATCTAGACAATTCAATTTGCCTTAATGTTGAATCGGTTTACTTAAAAAATTACTTAAAAATTGAAATGAATCGATATAAGAAATTGCTAGATTGTATACACTTGTATCGATCTTCATAAAAATCGAATCATAATGTGCATCCCTAAGTCATGGTCTTAGCTGAAGTAAAAATTAGTTTCATATCTATAGTCGTCACCAAATAAGAGGCCAAATTTGACAGCTAAAGAAGGTGCTAGTATGTAACTTTGAATGCGATCAACGAAACAATAAACAAACAATTATTAGCATAATTTAGTTTTTAAAAAATACATAAATTTTATTGAAACATTGTATAATATGACAAAACATATTTGAAGTACTGTTTTCGCACGAATTTCAATATAAAATGCAATTTTGAGTTACTCCGAAACGTCCTGAAAACAGTTACGTCCGAAAGCTATTTTTTTTAAATAATAGTGTTGTATGCAATTAATCGCCGAATTTCACCGAGTCACTTCGATTTCTCGGAAAAAAATTGACTTATTAAATATTAAAACAGAAATGTATAAAAATAAGTTTATTTTAAATAATTATGAACATAACATCTCTGACCACACCTATTGCAAATAAATTTATAACTTATCCAATTTAAAAGAGCCCCGTACTCTTAGCCAGATTTGTATTTCCTTTTCTTTTTTGCAAATTTTAAATTGGCAATACTGATACCAATCCAGTGGCACCCGGAGTCCGCGCAGTCTTTCACCATCTTGGAAGTTGACTGTGCGCTTGGTAATTTTTTATGTATTTTTCCTGTGACTCGGCTTAGATTTTGGACTGTTCCAGTTTTCTAAATTATGTACATTATTTGAGATTGTTTGTAGATGACATTGACAACTTTTTTAACTAATTGCAACCCGAATAATTTATGAAACCCTTGGTTTCTTGGTAATTTAATCTTTTTATGTAGTTGTTTTATAGGTGAACATACTTATTTACACTAAATTCTGGTAATAAACTATTTATGAATATTATAAAACCAAAATTAAAAGAATTGGATACAATTCATCGGAATGTGGGACAATTTTACGAAAATGAGAGGAATTGCAAGGAATTCTGTAAACGAATTGCTTTTAACAGAATTGCAAGATTTCGCCTTTTAGGCCCCCTGAACAATAATGAGCCGAAAAATAATGTAATCAATCACAAACTTAAAATTTTTAATCGATTTCTCGTGAAAATCGTATAATGTGATTATCGATATTAGTCCACATCCCTGTTAGCGTCACGACGACAAGTGTCAAATTTGGCCTCTTATTTGGTGACGACTTTATGCATAGCAGTCGCGAAAACCTAAAAATGTTGTTAGTGAGATTGTATACAAAACACAAATGAAAACCTTCTTGTATAAAATCATACTCAAGGTCGGAAGATTAAAATGTCACTTTAATTAATGACGCTCTACAGTAATGTACTACAATTCAGCACAAGTAATTAATTTGTCCATAGTAGTTATAATGTTAATGGTTTTAATTTCATATTTAATGAATGGGCCATATTAAATAAATGATATTTCACTAGGTCAATATAATTATAGCACTTAGGTAAATTTCTCGTCCTTTAATGTTCCCTTCAGACATCAAAGTGATATTTTTTATGGTATGATTTACTAAAAAAATATGATAAAGGTTGTTTACCTTCCTCCTTTTCCTCCATATTGCGTGAAATGAACTCACGCAGCTCACAATATGCTTTGTCTAAGTTGTCATTGAGGATCACAATGTGAAAGTTACCAGGTTCATTTCCTGAAATCCATAATTTATGTTTTTTATTTCACCATGTAAAGTAAGTTTCAACAATAATTGGTCACATACAAATGAAAAGTCTATGCTGCATGTACTATGTATAGTGTATTCCAATAGAATTGAGAGTGGACGTAAACAAACCAGTTGGGTTAAAATTCTGGAGAAATCTTTTTAAAAAAAGATTTTTATCTTATTTGATTTATATATTTTTATCATATTCTGGATTTATGTCCACTCTAAATTCTATTGTGATACACTATAGTGTATTCCAATAGAATTGTTTGTTTACGTCCACTCTCAATTCTATTGGAATAGACTATAGTAGTAGAAGTTCTGTATTACACAGAGCGTTTTTTTAAAATAGGACATCTATGGGGAAATCTGAAATTATAGAAGATACAAGAAAACTGTCTTAGGAACCATTAACTAATTTTTTGTGAAAACAATTTCGGCATAGTAATTTTTTTAATCAGGCGTGAGTTGTCCATAAAAATGAATAAAATTTACGAAAATTTTGTTTAGTGTTCATCGACTCAGTTTTATGAAGGGATCATGTCATTGTATGGATGAAAAAAATCGAGACACCAGAAGTTGGGTCAATTTTCATAAAATATTTTTCATACAAAATGAGAATAAATTTGACATTTTTTTTTTAATAGACTCAATTTCTTATAAGTATGATTAATACTGGAAGAAAAACATCGGGACAGTAGAAGGTTGGTTAAAAATAAAAAGTTTTTTTCATACGACATGAATAACATTTTATTAAATTTGACCAACTTTTGCTGTCCAGATTATTTTCTCAATACAATAAAATGATTCTTATAAGAAACTGAGTCTATCAGCATTAAGAAAAAATTAGTAAATTTTATTCATTTTGTATGAAAAATAATTTTATTAAATTTGAGCTACTTCTGCTGTCCCGATTTTTTCTTCCCCTACAATGAAATCATACTTATAAGAAATTGAGTCTCTTAGCATTAAAAAAAGTCTACATTATTAATTTTATATGAAAAATATTTTATGAAATTTAACCCCTTCATGGACAGTACTGAAATAATACCGCACACCAGAAGTCACTACTTTTCTTTACGCCGTAGTGACCATATTGATTTAACTTAATTATTACGCTTTGTCACTGATGGCTGATCCCGTCGACATTCATAGCAGCACTGCAAACTGTTCTTGCAAATGTTTCTTGTGCATAACTATTTATGCACATACATTCCCAACTCATTTGTTTTACTATCAAAGCTTTTCAGTGCCTGTTTGGGACTTTACATGTCAAGGAATTTGTTATACTTCGTTTTAATCCATTTAGAACAAAAAATAAACAAACAAGTAACTGACCTGACCATAGACGGTTTAGTGATGGCCAATTGTAACGCCAACTACAAATCGATTAATTAATTGAATGAATCAATTTGTTAAATTGAGTCATTCTTGAGATTTTCCGTACATAACCTATATAAGCATATTTAAAATTTCAATTTAAATCCTCCTTCAAATCCTTACACTTAGATACTCATTCGATTGCGATTGAAATGTTCGATTTAATAATCGATTACTAAACATTAATTGATTGAACTGTTTTTTTCTTTTCAAACAGCACTATGCAACCATAGGCAAGTCATAGAAGTATATATGAATAATAACCTCACTTTTGGACTACCACTTTTCAAATACGATTTTACAATGCTATTCAAATGAATATTGTTGGAAAAGGGATGATATATCAAGTCGAAATCTTCGAAATATATGTGAAAGTGTTATTTATTTGATTTATTGAGTGATTGCTTTAGAATTTTAAACAAACAGGTTTGTTTACTTTTTGTTCAAAATGGATCGGAACCATTGACTTACAATTATATTGGGTCGGGTCCGCGCTAAAAAGTGTCCGCACTTGTAAGGCGCTAAAATCGTATACAGAGCGCCACACTCCGCTTTAGTCTTCATTTGTTCTACTGACAGCGCGATACTGCGATGATATTACAATTTAAATTTCGAATAGGTTGACTTGGGACATTTTTTTCGTGGTTTTTGTATTAGACCCGTTGTCCATTTATTTGTAAGTCAATGATCGGAACAGACTATAGCATGCTTAAATTTATATTCAAGATTACAGTATTCACTACTGAAAATAGGATTACAATTGGGGTACAAGTATGTTTAGGCTCCTTACCATACTCAATCTCTCTTTTGGCAGTTTCAAGCCTCTTCTTCAAGGTTTCCTCATTCTCTGTGTTGCGTGCGCGCAACCGTCTCTCAAGTTCCGCTAGTGATGGTGGCATCACAAACACAAGCAGAGGGTTCAAGTCCGTATGCTTCACTTGTTTAACTCCTTCTATCTCTATATCTAAGATACACATCTTGCCACTGAAACGGACTGCATCTACTGCACGTTTGCTGTAATTTTAAGTTTAACTTTTGTGAACAATTGGTGCAACATTATTGCTTTATTTTGCTAGTGATAAATTTACTGAATAATAAGTATATGGTGTGACTTAAAAATAAACATGTTTTTTATGGACCTTGTTTGAGTTGATCAGGTTAGCAGAAAATAGTAAATTAAATTAAATATTTACTTTTATGGACATTGACTTACAATTATATGGACGTCGGGTCCGCGCTAAAAAGTGTCCGCACTTGTAAGGCGCTAAAATCGTATACAGAGCGCGACACTCCGCTTTAGTCTTCATTTGTTCTACGGACAGCGCGATACTGCGATGACATTACAATTTAAATTTCGAATAGGTTGACTTGGGACATTTTTTTCGTGGTTTTTGTATTAGACCCGTCGTCCATTTATTTGTAAGTCAATGTTTATGGATTATTAATTCATTAAACATCATTATGTGCAGCTTATTTATTATCAAATATGGATATTTTAAGCATGATGCCACGTAAACAAAGGCGCAGGAATAAGAACAATAAACTCTTGGCAGATTGCCAATGTCTGAGCACATGGCCAATACAGAATCTAAGTTTAAATGTATGAACTAAATCACTAACCTGGTTCCATATAAGTTTCCACTGAATGTTGCTGTTTCTAAGAACTCACCCCTATCAATAGCTTTTATCATTTCATCTCTTGTTGTAAAATGGTAGTGTACACCATCTTTTTCACCCGGGCGAGGGCCGCGAGTTGTGTGCGAAATACTGAATCCAAATTTATCCGGGAATTCTTTAAGCAGGCGCTTCAACAGTGTACTTTTTCCAGACCCCGATGGTCCGCACAGCACTAAAGGACGAGGACCCTTCTGCACCATGATCGCACTCGCAAAACCTAATTATAGGAAAATAATTGAATTATTTCAGCCGTATGTTGAATAGGCACTACGCTTTAAATGTTTTATTCATACGTTTTAAGAACTGCGTGGTGAAAGCGATATTTCCTACAAGTTATGTTGCCGTAAGTGTTCCTATTGCATTTATTTATTCAAAAAAATATTCTCTATCCCTACGCTCCGTTCAAAGCACAAGACTACAAAACACAGACTACGAAATACTACTGTATTGTAATGCCACAAGAAACTTTATGGTACATACATGTATGACCATCAAATCAAATTGTCAAATCGATAAGCAGGCGGTTTGACACCGGCTGTCAGTGTCATATATCCAGTATAGACAATAAGAATGCGTTCAGTGTCAATATATTCGTAGTTTTTAAAACAATATTTAAAAGTATACACTTTTCCTCTCGTTTTATATAAGATCACTGATTTTAGTTTTAGTTAGATAAAAGTATTTTTTCCATCCTCTAAGGATGAAGGTACGTTGCTTAAAAAGAAAATAATGCTTCATGTGTTCTATCATGAAATGTACTTCTAATGAAACTACTACTGAACATATATTGGATATGTTCAGCATTTATGTTTTGTAAAAGTTACATGATCATTAATTGTGTTTTTTAGTATTCCGTATTCCGGCGAAAAACAAAAAACAGGCCTAGTAAGCTGCATACTGAATCATAACCGAATATTTGTTGCAACTCTAGTTATAAGACATGAACCACAGACATATATTTAGATAGACGCCGCAAGTGTACGTACTTCGAATGCCCAAAGTAAGTGAAATTCACTTACTTGCCGCTCTACACTTGTAAACGTGTATACAGAGACGTTTCCTTCCACGGGCAAGTGATTTTGTAATCAGAAGATGCATAATTTATTTTAAAAACAATTATTTTGGTTTTGTATGAATTTAGAGAAAACAAATATGCAAACTAGTGTATGCCTCATGATTTGTAATACATTGTGGTTTTTACTTGGTGCGACATATTTGCGATCCTTTGTTAATATGCCATGAAAATCGAACAAACGCACTTTTGTATAACGCATCCAGTTTAGTGATACGGCCGCTTGTACATTCTTTTGGCCAAATTTAACATTTAGTGATGGTACGTTTGGCAACACTGTTCTCGATTCTAATCGATTTTGAAAACAAAGGGACGAAAATTATCATGACCTTTGCAATATTATAAAAATATTCTATAACTCTTTAGTTACAACATTTAGTAACGTTTCGTTTTTTTTCAGTTTTGTAGTATCCGTTATCAGTAGTATCTGTAATTTCGATCATTTTTGCAGCACGTTGTCTTGAAAATCCGAATATAGTGAGCAAATAACTACATACATCATTGGATATGTAGTACGAGTAATACAAAAAAATATAAAATGGGAAGAATGTAACAGTGCGCTGTCCTTAAAAAAACCTGGAGTTGGTCATACGTATGAGTTCGTTGCTTTCAAGGACGAAAATGGTCTAGTTTATCCCACCAAAGATGCTATCCAAATATGTAGAGTTAGAAATCCGAGAAATAATGATCACAAAAACTTTACATGAGGCCGACATTAAGTAAACCTTTTCTGAAAGTAAGATTTTACGATATTTTGTTAGCAGTAACATTTTCAGTTGTCTTGCCATTCATCAATTTGATTAATCACAAACACGGAAAACCATCTAGTAAATTTAATTAAGGCCGTTGCAAGTTCATATACTGACGTGCGTTTTCATTGTTTAAGTCAATCGATAAGATCTTCTATTACAAAAATACGGTTATATAATAAGCTTATTTTATTTCAAGGACAATAATTTTAATATTTGAATTGAAATTTTTAAGTTATCAAAATTTTTTTAAAACAAATTGTAATGAAGGACAGTTGTACTATCTTGTATTGGTATTTTTCTACTGTGTTTAATATTTCACGACTACCTGTAATTAACGAATACTTGAATCGATTAATTGAATGGAATACGTGTATTCCGTTCAATCAATCGATTTAGCGCGGCAGGAGATTTCCATCACTAAATAGTTCTTGTGACGTCATGGTGGATATATAAAATGTGGCACGCTCGATTTTTATACAAATTACAAATTGCTATACTTGCGGCGTCTATCTAGTTATATGTCTGTGACATGAACCCTTGATGGTCTTAATAGAAAGATCGAAACTGCTACATTAAATTATTGTAAATTAATTCCGATATCAAATCTAATTCATTAGAAGAAGCCAAATATAAAATAATAACTATATTGTCATGAATGGTCTATAGCAAATGCCAATATTAGGAAACGAACCCAATAAATAACCAGTGGGTAAGAAATGCTTACAAGCTTATTAAGTCTAATATCATTTTAGTAGAAGTGAACATTGAAACATCCAATAAATTTTTCATTTAGTTGTGTGGAATGAATTTTCTTATAATCTATTATTAGTGTCTTTTCTTTGAAAAAAAAAACTGTTCGTGCGCCTATTTCACTTAAAAAAAGATAGGTACTATACACAAATCAAATAAACAACACTTTAATGGATAATTCTGTCAAAATAGTTAAGAAAATCTCTGAATAGTATGCATGACATATTGTGTGTACATGTACTAAATTCACCGAATAATTTATAAGAAAAATGACTCTGATTGAGTACCCAAAAACTTGCTCAGTTTTGATTTTTAACGTGCATACGCACGATATGCAAGCTCAATTTTATATGCTCAGTGTAGCGATGGGACGAGTTATAATTTTTTCAACTCGAGTTACTCTAGTTGACTTGACTGCGGTGTCTAACAGAGCAACCGCGAGTCGTGAGTAGAACCCGAACCGACGATTCACCGAGTTGGACACGATTGGCCGGTCGACCGCGAGTCGAGTGTGCTCTGAAGATCGCCGAACCGACCGACCGAGTGAAACCGAGTAGGTATTTGGAAACCGTACCGAGCTAGCTAGAGTTCACAAAAAGTACTTCGAGTTGACTCGTGGGAATAACTCTACTCGCCCATCGCACGCGACTCGAGCTCAAACTCAAACTCAATATAATCTTTATTTCATAGGTAAGCATTATTACACTTGAAATCGTCACAATGGTTAAACTCTACCGCTCATTCGTAAGGCAGATTCCCCTGAGAAGAATGAGCAAGAAACTCTAGGGGTTGCTCTTTGTAAATAGCATTTACAATATTTTTTTATTTTTATTTGAAACATCAGAGATCGAGACTACCTCCATGAGCTAAACGGGTTACTACCACGGATTTTTGTCATCCAAGTACGCAGAAGTTGTATAATAACCTTTAGTATAAAGTTTTTGTTTCACTATAATTTTAAACCTCGAGAAAGGCAAATTTTGTATATCAACCGGAATCTTGTTATAGAAGCGTATACATTGCCCCTTAAATGATTTTTTGACTTTGTGAAGACGACTATCAAGAAAAGCTAGTTTATTTCTATTCCTCGTATTAATGTTATGTCTGTCACTATTTTTCATAAATAAATTACTATTCCTTTTAACATAAATTACATTTTCATAAATATACTGTGAGGCTAGTGTAAGAATGTTAATTTCCTTAAACTTATCTCTCAAAGATACTTTGGGGCCCAGATTGTAAATTGCCCTAACTGCACGTTTCTGCAGGACAAAGATTCTATTGATATCGGCGGCATTACCCCAAAACAAAATGCCGTATGTCATTAGACTGTGAAAGTAACTGAAGTAAACCAATCTAGCGGTTTCGACGTCTGAAAGTTTCCTTATTTTTTTAATCGCGTACACTGCAGAGCCGAGCCGTTTTGATAACTTACTTATATGGGGACCCCATTGCAATTTAGCATCTAACGTTATACCTAGAAATACAACTGTATCCACAAGATTCAATTTTTCATTTCTAACTGCAATGTTTGTAACCGTCTCTCTAACATTGGGTAATGTAAATTTCACACAATTTGTTTTTTTCTCATTAAGAAGTAGGTTATTAACAGCAAACCAATCAATTACTTTAGATATAGCATTGTTCACATCGTCATAGGAACTTTGGTGCCTTTTAACTTTAAATAATAAGGAAGTATCATCAGCAAACAATACTATCTCATGTTTTATACTCTCCATAAGGCTAGGTAAGTCATTAATATAAACTAAAAATAAAAATGGGCCTAGAATTGAACCTTGAGGGACACCCATGCTAATTGCAGATCCTGACGATCTCGTACCGTTAACATCGACCCTCTGTACCCTACCACGCAAATACGATTTAAGAAGGCCGAGATCACGTCCCGCCACACCATATCATTCTCTCAAACGTCTCCAATACTTTCTTCCTTTTCACACCAAAATTATGCTTGCGCAAACTCTTTTACTCCCTATTCTTGACTATGCCGACGTTTGTTACTTGGATGCGACCGAAGACCTTTTAAACAAACTAGAGCGTCTACAGAACCTGGCTATCAGATTTATTTTCGGTCTCCGAAAATTTGATCACGTTTCCGAATTTCGTGCTCGGTTAAAATGGCTCCCAATCCGCCTTCGCCGTGATGTGCATATCCTGTCCACCCTTTTTAATATACTTCATGACCCAAATTCTCCTTCCTACCTACGTTCCCGGTTCCAACTGCTTCCCCCTCCTAGCCGCTCAAGGCGTCCGTGCATCACTAAGATGCTCGTTCATCCTAGTTGTAAAACAAATTTCTTTTACAACTCCTTTTCCTCTCGTGCAGCGCAGCTGTGGAACAGACTCCCTTCCCATATTCAGTCTAGTCCGTCAATTGCTTCCTTCAAGAAAAGGTTGACAGCGCACTTTCTTGCTGAACTCTCTTAATAATCATCATATTTGTATATGTGTAAGTTTATTGATACAATGTATTATACGTTATGTAGTCTATTCATTTATATACTATTTTAATTATTTAACGGTAATTTTATATATGCATATTTTACACATGTAGATTATCATCTTTTGTTATCTCTTTTGCACGCCGTTCCCCGCTTAAAACCTTTGCTCTCACTGCCTTGGGTTGGCTGGAAGAGATCTCTTTTAGAGATAAGTCCACCTTTGCTCACCTTATGTTATTTTTTTGTTTCTGTTTATTTGTTTGGTGCAATAAAGAATATATATACATAATGGCAAAGTTTCCTGACCAGTGTATCATGGTGCACACAATCAAAAGCTTTGGAAAGGTCACAGAATACACCAATAGCATCATGTGAAACTTCCCATGCATCAAATATATGATTAATCAACTCGACACCAGCATCGGTTGTAGAGCGACCCCGAGTGAAACCAAATTGCTTAGGAGACATTAAGTTATTACTATAAAAATGTGCACACATCTGATTTAGAATAATTTTTTCAAATATTTTACTGAGAGTTGGTAGTATTGATATAGGTCTGAAATTGGTGGGGTCAGAAATACTACCAGATTTGAAAAGTGGAATAACTTTACTTTGCTTCATGAGGTCAGGAAAGACACCATCATCAACACATTTATTAAAGACACAGGCCAAATAAGGCGCAATACAATCAACTATAGAACTAATAACTCTGACTGAAAGACCATCAAGATCAGCTGTATTTTTTATGTTTTAGACTTAAAGGCTTTAACAATATCGTTTGGAAATACATGACGGAACCTTAAATTAGTGGTACTAACTGCATTATTTTCTTTTAGTAAGGATTCAGCGGCGGTGAGAGATGAATTTAACGACTTAGTAGTCAAAATTGGAATGTCAGTAAAAAAATTTTCAAATATTTTAGCAACTTCTGCGTCTGTGTTTACAATTTTGTCATTAAATCTTAGTTGAAAATCTAAGTTACGAGGTTTGACCCTTCCAGTTTCGCTGTTTATAATATTCCAAGTCGTTTTTACTACATTCGCGCTGCTTTTTATTTTATTATTTATAAACATTGCTTTGGCTGCAACACAAACACGTTTAAACATTTTCGAATATTTCCTAACAAAATCATTAAAACTGTTACTAGTGTTATAAGTCCTTTCATCGTAAAGATCATATAGCCTTTGTCTACTTTTGTGAATTTCCACAGTCGCCCAATCACTAAATTTCAATGAATTATTAATAGTTATGATTTTTGACCTAAAACGTTATCACGTTCACTTTTGACTATGTTGAAAACTGAATTATACAATTTATTGGGATCGTTAACGTTCGAGCGTGCTCCGAAGGTTGCCGAACCGACAGCCGAATGGGAACGAGTAGCCGATGCGTTATATAAATGAAGTATTCAGCTCGGGCGGCGGGGCTGGTTCCGAACCGAATTAGCTCGAATTCATAAAAAAAAGCAGCTCGAGTTGACTCGTTGTGGGAGTAACTTGTGTTAAATAACTCGACTTGCTCATCGCTAGTACAGTGTGTGTATGTACATTGGTACAGTATTACAATATCGAACTGTGACATTGGTATGTCATTTGTCACAATAAAGACATTGACATAACCTCGATTTGTGCCTATTTTTAACCGACCTTATAAAAGGAGGAGGTTCTCAATTCATCTGTATGTTTTTTTTTTGTGTATGCACTTGTGAACCGATATTGATAATTCTTTTTTTGTTGGAAAGAGGATATCTCAGAAGTGGTCCCATTTAAATTTGAAGAAAATATTCCACCTCAAAGGGTGGTCAACTAGGGGATGAATGACTTTTGAGGTCGGCTTTTTTACCGGAGGTTAGGTTAACACGATTACAAAAGTAGTTCTTTGGGCATGCTCGGCTTTATTGAGTTTTTATGTTTGCGAGCTGGCGCCATTTTTGTGTTGTTCAGGATATTGTTTTCCCAAAATAGTGGAATTTATTATCTATTTTTAAATAAAAAGATATAATTTTGACAAAGGCAGTGCCGCTCGGGGCTATTTGCTACGCTACGCCACTGAAAAGATAGATAAAAACATAATTAACTTCCAAAACAACTTATTTACTAAAATCACCTAATACTCTCACTATAATTTACTATATCAAACTACTTAAAAATAACCAGATTTCATCAACAGGAGGAATGTACGTATATATTATTTTACATAGAACTAATTAAAGTAAACAGTTTTGAAAGTCGTGTCAGTGAAAAGGCGCTGGCTCAGCATAAATGCCGCAGTTACCCACGACACTGGTATTCTGCCGGGACACTGTTACTATTACGAAAGACCTATCTCTATGTCTATTATCAATAGTATAATATCGTAATTCTATGATCACGATTTTGGTGCATATTTTCCTCATACATTTTCTATAACGTAACAAGAAACAAATGGAAACTATCGCATTTACATGTTATTGGTTACCGTCAATAATAAACCAAATCATAATTCAGTGAACTCTGCACTTTGTGCTCTTTACACAAGAAGACAAGGCAAAACTAGTAAAATGAACGCTGTTTTAAAACTGCTCTAGAATCTATGGGTGACAGCTGTTTTTCTTTCAACACCAGTGATCATACTTTTTTATTATGTTTAATTCATATTTAACGTTTTGTCAATAAACTTAAATACATTTAAATTAAAATGATTATTTCTTAATAAATTCGAGTTTTATTTGCAATTTAGATTGATTTATACATTTAAGGAACATTTAACTTCCGGCGTACCGGATTAGAGCAATCTCTAATAATCTGTGGACCAATCAAAACTCGCGTCTTCTCCATTGTAGCCGAATGAATTTTTCCGTTACAGTTCGAGTTGTTAGAGCGGATTAGTAACCGATTTGAGTGCAGCGAGATAGTTTATTAATTCTTTCCAAGGCCTAGCCTTCTAAAAGCTTTAGCTTTTGGAAAATCCATTGGAATAACGGCTCAGCAATAAAGAAAACAATGGAGATTCACACCCGAAAGCATCACACGGTAAGTTAGAGATATTTACTATATAAACTTGTTCCCCTTTACAATTAAATCAATGATATGGTTTTACATCCAATACAGATCCAAGATCAAGAGAATGCGTACGCTAATAAAGGCAAAAAGAATGTGGTGATGCCGCAGAAAAGGCAGAATGTCGTTCTTCGTGCATTGGGTGACGTGAATATTAATATTCAAGTTCCTTGCGATGTTCCAGTTGGTAAAGTGGCCACGGCTGCTGCAGAAATTGAGAAGAAAGCTTCTCTGAATCGGGCACCTCTTCGGAGGTGAGCACACGAGTTTTAAAAATATTATCGCATACCGCCATTTAATAACATAAATAAAAACCGTTGAAAATAAATGCGACTGTAAATACCTAATAAATTAGTTTTAAGAATTAATTCAGTCTATGAAATAGTGCTAATTTACTAGATAATTTAGGTTTGGATTGTGAGATACTATGTTAATAAATATTATCAGGGGGTATGTGCTGTTACCTCACTAAATAGTAATTTCAACAAAGTTAGTAATTCTAATATTTACAGCAACTACAAACATGTGCAATCGAAAGTGGACACAGGATTGGCAGTTAGGCCTGTGCAACATACAACGCGGGCCCCCTTAAGACGTGAAGAGAGCACAGGCGTAATGGCCAGAGCTGCTACAAGGCCTAAGGTATGAATATAACTTTATTCATTGCAAGGGAATTTTATTTAATTACAACCACATGTGTGGTTGTTATTCAATTTATATAAGTGGAATAAATTAATTGCTTGTGAGTTTAGCATTTGAAGTTTCTTTTGCTACTGTAGATATACCTTCGGAACAATAACAAAAAAGTTGTACTATCATATTTTAGCTTGTGATTGTACTCATGGCAGCGATCATCTCGAATTGAAATAATTGCTGATGTGTAAATTAGCTAAAAAACATTTTTTATAGCAAAATGATCAATTATGTTTTTGTAACAAATCTCTCTTATCTAATTTCGTCTAGTATCATTCAATGGATTTGTTGCATTGGTTCAGATCCACACTTTTGACACATATTTTTAAGAAAGGTAAGTAGATTTAGTGGTTGCTCTTCAGGTTGAATTATTTGTAGAAATGTAATGAAAATGTGACTTAGGGGTTTTTGTTTTAGCGCTCCTCAATTGTAACTTAAAATATTTTTTAATAACTTGCTATATTTCCAGACGGCACTCAGAGAAACTCAAGAAAAAGTTCCTAAGCCAAAGACCTCATCTACCCAAATCAAGAGAAGTACAGAAGGAACAAAGAAAACTACCAAACTAGCTCCAGTCACAGAACAGCCTGAGAAAAAAATGGTGAAGTCATTGAAACCAATCCTTAAAGAATCTACAGAGTCTTTGGGCAAACTGTATTTGACTGAAAAAGTAAAAGATGAAAATATCATTAATTTAAGTTTGTCCCCTGTTCGGTTGCCTGCTGACATTGAAGATATTGATGCTGCGGACAAGGCTAGCCCATTATTGATGTCCATTTATATCAAGGATATTTACAAGTACCTCACAGAGTTAGAGCTTCGGTACCCTGTTGAGGAAGACCACTTGAGGAAGCAGGTTTGTATAAATCTTTTAACTAGGGACTGTTGTATTTAATTTTTAAGTTTCTGGCTTCTCTTGTAGAAATTTGCCAATGTCAGGTCAGTCACGGGAGTTACACTTTCGTTTTTAAGATGATTAATTAATTAACACTGTTCTTTAGTCTATTCCGGCTTCTGAAACAATACAGAACACAATATACCATCACCGCTACAAATACTTAAAAAAAAAAAAAGTTTTATAGTTTAAGTTTGTTATTACTAATAAAATCAGTTATTAATTCTAACAGGGTATTCGTAAAAACGTATAGCAGAAACTTGAAATTTATGGGACGAGGAATAGAATAATAGGTTGAAGACTACCATAAAACACATTTTGGTAGGATAGCTGAAAAATATGTGGTCTGGGGTTCCTTTATCCAGCCTGCATTCACAAATTGAGCTATCCCGTGTTCTAACTTTTGCCAGATGGTTCGGGGTTAACCAGTGACTAATCCAGAGTAAATTTCGCGACTGAACTACATTGGTGGAATTTTGTAACTCTGGATCTGTTTGACTGCATTGATTGTGGCATTATTAAGATCTACCTCCTGACAGATACAGCTAAAATCTACTTATCATAGACTTTTCAGTAATGCCAATATCACAGTTACTATTTAGAAGTATATGTGGTCATAACTTTACCACCGCGAAGACGCTAAACCTACTGTTTAGCGTCGTCGAACTAAACAGGGTTATTTGTGAAATATTAACAACCTTGCAGGACTATTTTACTATTTAATATCATAGACAACAAGTTTTGTTCCATGACTTTTTACAAAACATAATAAATATCTTTTAAAGCGCAGGCCACACCGCGAACTAAGCAGGTTAACTTAGCTTAGACTGTGGATACGCGCGGGGGTGAAGGGCGGCGGAAGGGCGACATATTTTGCATAGCTAATGGGATTGAGGGTTAGTTAGCTTGGTTAGCTTAGTTCGTGATGTGACGGCTACGTGAGCTAAGCTAAGTTAGCTTAGCTAAGTTAGCTTAGCTTCGTGCGCGGTGTGACCGGTGCATAAGTTGTTGTATGTACTATCTGACACTTTTTATATCTATATTTGGTGAAGACAGTAAGTTCAAATAAGTGTAGTCCCCGACGACCCTCACCCTGCTCCTGCATGGGACTGGTACTTCGCTAGCGCCTCCTTTGTAACGCACAGAGTAATAACCGTTTAGTTAGACTGATCTATTTAAATATTTTTATTTTTAAATATTCGCTCTTATTGTACGGGTATAAAGCGTTTTCTGGCCAACTCAATCCAATTCCTCGTCAATAAGTCGCCATATGGCCAGATAAACTGCCTCCGTGGCCGAACGGTTACCACGCCGGACTGCCACGCAGAGGTCCCAGATTCGTTTCCCGGGCCGGGAGAAATATTGATATGGCCTACATTTATTTGTCTCGTGAGTTTGCGTGTAATTTGTGGTTTATGTATGTGTCCATGACACCCGCGACACAGGATTTCCGTAGTGCGGGGCTATGAGTGTGTGCGTTATCATTATTATATGGCGAAAGCATGACTGAACTTGAATCGTGTTCTCGGTATTGATAGTATTGTTGCTACGATATTATTTTGTAAACGCAGACTATTTCATGTCATTTCATTATAAAATGAAGCATTTCCCACAAAAAGTGAAAATGATCAAAAAGTTAGTTTGGCCCTTATACTTAGGATCCATCGACATGTCTGTCGATGTATGTAGAATTGAAACAAAATATTATTTCCAGGTTTCAATTAACGAAAGGATGCGAGCCACATTAATTGACTGGCTGGTGGAGGTCCACTGCCAATTTGACCTGGTCCCAGAGACATTCCAAATAACTGTTGGCATTGTTGACAGATATTTACAGGTAAAAGATTCTTTAGTCATTTGTTTACTGACAATTTTCCAGAACTATAGCTGCCCTGATATCGACTCCGATCCATGATTTGGAGGATTCATACATTTAGCAGACTTTATACAATAACGCAGTATGTATTGTAGAATATTAATATTTTGAACTGAGCATACAGCGACGAGCAGAGCAAGCGAAACTTTAGCGTGAATAAACCGCCCATCTTCTTACGGCAAAGATTAATATACGTAACATGGGCTGTATGCTTAGTTCAAAATCGTGCAAATACCGCGTTATTGTAAAGACGGTTTGTTTTTTTTTATACTGTCAGCTATGACTTGTATATATCGCACTGTTAATGCAATAGTGTATTAATTCAAAAAGTGTATTTTCTCAGAATCGACGAAAAAAGAATTGCTCGCTTCCCGTGAAAGATCTGTGTACATTTATGTATAGGTTATTTCCCACTTGCCAAATATACATATTTAAAAATAATAAATATAAAAAATAATTTTATATTTTTGAATAAGAACTATTTTGGCCAAAAATAGCTCACATAAAGCGTATCTCATTTTGAGTTAAGTAGTTAAGTAGATATTTTTTAGTTGTTTTTTACAATATTCTAATGACGTTTTCATTGACGTGTAGAGAATCAAATTTTACGTTCCACAATGGTATAATCTTGAATTTCACATATTTTGAGTTACAACACTATTGTAGTAGCAGTGCGATATATTGTACAGGCATTTAAAAAATACTTGGTTGCCGCATAGGTGTCTTCGTGAAATTCTTTGCTTATGGTTTTGTTGTTCTAATATTGGCAAATGTTCAGATGGTGTCCAACATCAACCGCGACCGATTGCAACTCATCGGCGTCGCGGCAATGTACATAGCAAGCAAGTATGAAGAGATCTACGCCCCGAACGTTGGTGACTTCGTCTACGTGACCGATCATGCTTATACCAAAGAGAACGTTTTCCAATGCGAGAGAGAAATTCTATCCAAACTAGGCTTTTGCTTGGCGCGACCTATACCGCTTAGTTTTCTGAGAAGGTAAGTCTTATGTGACTTTGCAGCATACTTTCCTACAGTGCCTCTGTGTAAACCTCATTCCATATAGTAGATACGAGTCTGCATGGTGATGGATGACAAGTTAATGTTTACAGTACTGCCCTCACACAACTATGCGTACTTTATACAGCAGTTGTGCCTTTTTTCGTTACGAGTGCAGAGTAGTTTAACCTAGACCTTGATGGCCGAATGATTTGCACTGGATGAGGAGGTCCTGGGTTCGTTTCCCGGTAGAACTATTTTGTGAAATTCCTTTTTTAAAATTGGTTCTGATCTGGGTAGTCCCTGGATTGAATTCCGTTGCTCTGGCATTCATAATACAGGCAATTCGTTCACTGGTGTGGTTGACTGGCACATTATTATTATTTTAAACTAAAACAAATGCCCGGGGTAGGGTATTATAAACATAACCAGTAATAGAGACGAAATGTCATTTAATTTGTTTGAAAACCATTCTGCCAAATCATTCCCGTGACACTGCGCTCCGATTGGCCAGCCCGAATTCGAAACATTTGACGGGTGTAGTCAGTTGTTTCACTTGAAAACAACCAGTTTAACTTGAGCTTTGCTATAATGGAAGTAAATTGCAAAATTATATAATATTTGATATTTAATCGATGAAATGTGATTGTTTGTTTTGTAATTAGATGTTTTGCTATTTTTCCCACACCACTGAATGGAACAGCCTTCATTGTTAGAGATATTATCTTTATTACAATAAATATAGAACATTTTTGGAATATACGGAGACGTACACACAGCTACGTTGTTGGCGCTGTACTAGTTCAGTTTCTAATTTGTGATTTCAGCGCAAACGAGAGTTTATATTTAAAAGTGATATAAGGTCCATTTGCCTGATGAGTTGTCAGGGATGGAGGGTCCTTATTTCGCTGTCTATTTCTGGTTATATACTCGATGTCATAGTACCTAAAATTTGTTTAATTTTTTAATTACTAGTTATTTTTCAGATTCACCAAAGCGTCCAAGGGAACCTCGAAGCATCATCATCTAGCGAAATACTTCATCGACCTGTGCCTTGTCGAGTATTCGATGGCTCACTACCGGCCCTCGGAGCTCGCCGCAGCCTCTCTTTGCCTCTCTCTTTACTTGCTATCTAGTAAGAAGTTTGAAGAGCTATGGACGCCCACTCTCGCCTACTACTCGCAGTACAACCTACAGCACCTGGAACCGATTGTCAAGAAAATTGCAAAGATTGTTGTCGGTGTCGGCAAGTCCAAATACAAGGCAGTGTACAAGAAATATCTCGATCAAAGGTTAGCTAAAGTCTCTGCCCTGCCCCAGTTGAAAGGTGATGCTATCTACGATTTAATCCAGTCACATTCTCTAGGTTCTCTTCAATGTTCTACAGTACATTCAAATTCAAACTGTTGACAAAGTGTTTAATGGGAAGATATTTTGACTGAATTTTGTATAAGGTTTGTTTTAGGTACCTGCACCTCGGTTTTAGATGTAATTTTGTGCGACGGGTGATTTTTCTTTAAGTAATATTGACATGTTAATATATTTATGACATTGTATACGGGGACGTTTTAATGTTATATGTCTGCAGTAGATGTAATAGTTAACCTATAATGTGTTTTGATCGTGCCCCATTTAATTATAGAAATTGACACAAGTGTGATTTCGAATTTTTGATCGATATTACGTTTTAAAATAGAATGAATGACTTATTGTTGCTATTTTTATGATTTCAACACGCATTTTTTTTTCGTAATAGTGATCCACAATTTATTTCAAGGTGGTTTTTATAGCTATCATGCAATTTTATGGGTCTCTACAACATACTATGTATCAGATATAGTCTGATGTAATGATAGATAGATTTTAGAATAGTGACATTCTAATTTGTTTTTGTGAACATTGGCATTGAAATGTACCCAAACAATTGTATAACATAGGTTTTAGACGTTAATTTGTATTTACTTGTGATTATAGGATAATTATTTTACGACGTATGTAATTTGATAGAACTGTGATTAGTATTGTAATGATGTTGAAATAAAATCCAATGTTTTGTAATATTTTTAAAGTTTTTATTACTTAGGGATTTATTTTATTTATACGGGTTGTGTCCAGTTCTCATATTGAATGAGGTGTATGAATTCGTACCTTTGGTGTAATAAAGCCACATGTAAAAATACTTCAAGTCATTTTATCGCGTGAAGGGCGTAAAAATAATACGCACTACATTAAATAAATTATGTCATTTGCAGATGTGGTCTTATTACACGAAGAGTGCCAAATAAAGGCCTGTTCAGATAAGCGTTATTCGTTATCGCTGTGGGTAGCGAAATTCATTATCGTTTATTATTGTCTACTAATCGTTACTGACTTGCGTGTTCTGCAGAGGGATGAATTTGCCACTGCTCTCGCATCGTGCCACCTGTTTCGCAAAGCAATCTAAAAGATACCGCTTACTTGGGCGATATGGCGCGGTATACCGGTTTCATTCTAACTGCGGAACTTCATACAAAACTGCGGGATGCTGTGCGATATTTTTCGCTACCTACAGTGATAGGGAATAACGCTTATGTCTGAACAGGCGTTTATGGATTTTTTTACATTGTGTAAAAAAAGTCGATCCAAAAACCACCGCTGCTTAGTAGTATGTGAGGATTTAGCGGGACCAGCGCTTGATTATATGAAACGGGACCAGCGCCTGATTATATGAAACGGAACCAGCGCACGGGTTGACTCACGTTGGTCCAACAATTCCTGGCAATGACCATATTGGATCGCCCCAGGTCTTGACTTCCAATTGATTTGCTTTATTTGGAATAAAGGTAATAATAAAGTAATTAGTAGGTACACAATTGTAGAAATAGTGTGAGCATTTGAATCAGCCTGTCGGAATCTTTATAAATTTTCTGTAAAAAATTTAAAAAGGTTCCAAACTCGCACGACCGCCATAGCTAGTTATCACATTTCCCATAATAGCGAAGACTCGCATTTGGCTTCGATCGACAAATCCTAAGATATCGTGACGTCAGGCTGGAGGCATAAAATTGACAGGTCTCATTAAACTTGGACAGCTTCTTGGCAGGAGAAAAGATAAAAGAGCGATTATAGATTCGACACCTTATTTGAATGCAGTTAAATTATTAGGAACAAATATAAAGATATTAAACTTGTAATAAGTTCTTCTGCTTGTCAATTAGCGTTAAAGATTGTATGACGTTAGGTAGGTACTGAGTAGAACTAACGTTCACACACTACCTTGACGTCTGCTTACAGTGTCGAGATTCACCACGAGTAACCACTTGTAACATATACGCGTTTGTATAATGTGTACGTATGTGACGTTAAACGAAATATGCAAAGGACAGTAGCAAGTGAATATGAAATGATCTCCTGGTTCTAATATACCGCATCAAGAGGTAGTAGAATTTATGTAAGTGTACTGAGGTTATGTAGTTAGCCTTGCCAATGGACTCAATTGCTACATGCTATTTGGTGCAGTGCCCACACATTATACATAGTCTCTCGGGCGTTGTTCTACTGTTAGTCGACTCTGCGTATTTCATGGTTTTTCCTCTGCAAATTCCAAGAATTTATTAACGCTTGGCGGTTAGCCGAGCTGTTTTTATTTCCCTTTTCCACTGACTGGACTCCCTGCAGTGGGGACTGCGTGAAAACAGAGAAATTCGATGTTTTTTTATGTATACCTCTTTTTCTGCTGCTTTGACGTTGTGCATTGCATTTTTTCATGTTAGTTCTTACATATGCTTGCTTATTAGGCCGTGGCGAAAATATTTGCTTTGCAAATAAATTCCTAATATTTAGTAGTTTCACTAGCATTAGGTAAATTGTCTACAACATTAAAAGTCTTAACGTGTAATCATAACATACAATGCACGAGTATACTCCCAGCCAATAATGGCGAAGTTACGCCGTGTAGCATTTTTGCGTTGAATGTGGCGTAGGCGGCGCTTTGCATCGTATGCACATACTCTAGCTCTACAGTGTTGTAATGCCGCGGGAGACTGTCTCGTAAATATTTCGCGCACGCAATTTACAGCTTTGGAAATCCTCTTAACGGAATACTGGGGCAGTTAGTGAGCCCGGATATTTATAATTTTAACGACCCAGTACTGAAACCGCTATTGTTCTCTAGATTACTCTTCAATTGTACGCGAATTTATCCTGGTTTACAGGTGAATTCATAAATTCGTTAAGTTTAGAATGAAAAAAAGGTGTGGTGTTTGTTTAAGTAGAATATTTTTTAATCTACGTTTTACTACTCCTTTTTGATAAGTGTCACTGAAAAGATTCATTTGTCTCACTCGCCTGAAACGGAAGCAGTGGGTACTGTTTTTGTGTCTTACAAAAAGGAAAGGAAGAAAGAAGTCTAAGAATAGGTGTATAGGCTGCCTGGATGCCTTTTCGCAACATTTTTATATGGTAAGGACGTCGGTATAAAAATATCTTTAACTACAGGACTGATTGGTTTAAACCAATAGTTCAGTCCAGTACAAATGGAAAAGGAACAAAAGTGCAATAATGCTTTTCTAGCACCCATTTTCCAAGCAATTTTTGGGTAAAGGAGACAGAAATATACAGCAATGATTTACGGGTGTTAATGAAAGTGCCATAGATTAGGACAAGAAATTTTGAAACTTGTGAAATAGTTAATCCAGGCAAGTAGGTACTCCTGTAGTAGTAAGTATCTACCGGAGAGTATTACTACGCTCCGGTTTTGAAGGGTATAAAGGTGCTGCTGAAATTACAGGCAAATGGGACTTATCAACTTATGTCTCAAGGTAACAGGCGCAGTAGCAGAGTCCCTTTGCGATTTGAAGCTCGAGTCGCTTAACACAAGAAGTTCAAAATCAGTTCATATAAAGAATTTGTCAGAACCGATTTTGAGGATTCCATTAAAATGTTATTATATATAACTCGGACGCTATTTGAAAACTTAAAAATTGAAAAGTACAAAGTTTTCTAGGTATCAGCTTAAATGTCACGAAGTTAGTTTGTCTCTCATATTATTGTCGCAACACTTTTGTACTTAACGTCGGGCGGGGTAAGTGTCTAGGAGCGGGGCTTCCGTTGTTTCGCCAACTTTTAACGAGTTTGTCGGACATGGCTGCGAGTGGCGACGAATGTCGACGATCTGTACAATACTTCTGTTTCTCGTATGTTTTATAATATTATACTTAAAATTGAAGTACCTACCAAGAATTTTTTATACATTACCTCTATAAACTATGTTGTTATGTTTGATTTTGAATCGTTCCATTGTAAATTGCATACAGTTTATTTATATTTTAGTTGTAAACGGAAATGTGCTGTTGTCGGTGTCTAGCCGTTGTATAATAACAATAATCGCGCGCACACGCTCATAGCCCCGCACTAGGGAAGCCCTGTATCGCGGGTACCAAGGACACACAAATAGACAACCACAAATTACACCCGAACTCACGAGAGAAATAAATGTAGGCCATACAAATATTTCTCCCGGCCCGGGAATCGAACCCGGCTCCTCTGCGTGGCAGTGCGGCATGGTAACCGTTCGGCTACTGAGGCAGTAGAATATCTCAACATCGAGTTGTTAGGTTTTCGCGATTGTTACACCAAGGTTACACCTATGTAATGAAACTATTTTTTTGGCTCTAAATTGCGTATTTTTGTTTTTTTATACAAAACAACGTTTCGGGTTCTTTACAGATCCCGTGGTCACTGCTGATTTAAATACAAATATATTGGATTTAGATTCCATCCTCCCATCAATGTTTTACCATACATAGTATGATGCCAAAAAGAATGGGTAGTGATGTTAACACTAAACTTTAAATACAAGTAAGATCATTTTATTTTTATTCTATTTGCACTGTACAGATATATCGAGTTCTTAGGTTTTCGCGATTGTTACACATAGGAAATGAAACTATTTTTCCGGATTTAAATCCCGTACATTTGTTTTTTCAAACAAACCGACGTTTCGGGCCCTTTACATGTCCCATGGTCACGGTTGACTGAGGTGGTACAGTCTTCAACCAGTTATGTCTAATATTAATGCAAACCACCCTATTTTTTCACTATAGTTACAATAGTTATTAATTAAATACCTTATTTTTAATTTTACAAAGAAAACATTCCAATTTACACTACATTAAATTTTACAAATTATTTTATTGAATGAATTTTTATTCAGTTTAATTTATTATTAATTATTAATAGAAATTAGAATAAACTAAAA